AAGTAATCATTTCTCAATCATTTCTTTTGTACATGCATATTACTCAGCGATCAAAGAAGTTCCTTGGTGAATTGAGAAATTCTCATTCACGTGACCATCTACTTAAAGAACCTGTAAAATACTCTTTAGCTCCTTTCATAACACACTTAAAAGACCACAACTTCAAGAATCTGTAGACTGCAGTAGTGATTTTTATTCTAGTGTGATTTTTGCCATCCTCTCATTGTGTTCCATGTCTTTCCAAGTCGTTGCAGAGGTAATAGCTTCTATATCATATAAAACAGAGTATGTTTCTTGCGTCTTTAATCTCTGACATGTGATGTGATTATTCTGATGATTTGTGTAGGTTCATGATCTGTTGAGACAGTACAATGAAATTGACCTGTTGAGGCTGTCCATGGTCTATAGTTGTTAGCTACACAAACCCTCATTGTAGTATTGTCTAATCAGCAACCGATGATGTATCCAGAGCCGTGGTGGAAGAATAACTCTTATGGTGTCGTTCCTCAAGCGGGATCTTCTAGAATCCCATCAAACTCATCTTCTTTGGAATGTCTGAATGGTTCTGAATGTCCGATGATGAGGATGATGATGGTCCTAAGAAACTTTATAGATATGAGCATAAAGGTTTTGATGTTCTTCTGTCTTTAATTGCCTTTTTTGCAGAGACTTGGATGAGAATTTGAAGAAAATATGCTACAAGTATTTGGAGATCCAAGGAGTGAAAGCAAGCACAACGAATTTCTTGCACGGTACATGATGAGGAAAGTGAAGCGAGAATACTTGTTGTGATTGAAGAATGTTAAAAAAGTATAATTCAACAAAAAAAAATTAAGAACACACTTAAGAAACTTTACCGATAATTGATGGGAAAACATAAGTCTCTTAAATGTATTGTTATTATAATACTAAGAGACATTTTGGGGTTTCACCAATAAACATGCTCTTACCAATCTAGCAATTACCAATCTAGCAAAAGAAACTTACTTTTTCAAGTATCTCAAAGGTATTTGGTCGGTATAGAGCCCAATGCACTACTGCCTCACCAGCAAAATAGACAAACCAAGTTGGCCATCCTATTGACACTTGCTTCAACTCTGCTTCCTTCGTAACAATATACTCGTCTTCTTCCTCAAATCCGAGGAACTGCTTCAAACCCACCAGGTTTCTCTGGCTCCTTCTCAATCCGTTGATGATCAGAAAACCTAAAAGAACTCAACTTTTTAGAATCAATAACTCAATCTATCTAGGTAACTGAAGCTAGGCTTAGGATGTACCTTGAATTAAGAGTCATACATGGGGACGCTGATGCAGCAACGAATCGTAGCCTGGATCAGCAGCAGAGCATGAGAGAGTAGTCAGAGATTTCATTCTAATCAGAGATCTATCCAAAAAAAAAAAACTAATCAGAGATTTCAGGAGAGAGTAGAAAGAAAGAGAGTTTTAGGTTCTGGTGGAGATGAATTGAGGAAGGACGAAGGTGATATAGGATAATATACAAATCACGAAAGTAGCTAATTTCCTTTTTGGTTTTGATTTTAGGGTTTTGTGCAAAAAAACCAGTCAACTAAATTAATTTTGCAAAATCAACCCTGAACTTTTTTCTGTGCAAATCAATGCTCCTAACTCTAAAGTCACCCGCTAAACAGGACCTCCGTGTGATTGTTGTTAAGTGTGAACGTTGACTCAAAACACAACGTTTTGAGTAATCAAAAATCGTGTGGTTTTGTCGAAAACAAAGCAAACGCTATACAGTTTTTAATTTTAAGTTTTAATTTAATTAAAATAAATAGTGAGAAAAACCAAATTCTCTGCTTTCGTCTTTCTCATTTGGAAGAACAATGAAGTATTGCTCTGCAGCTTTCTGGGTTCTGTATATTTTCTCCAATATGTATCGAATTTGGAGTTAGGAATCGATGCACAAATGATCTGAAAAGCAAAAAATGTGAGAAAGTCGGAAAATGGTTTCACGTCACCCCTTTAATCAAAATACCCAATTGCTGAACTTGAGGAATAAGAAACTTTCTCCTCGAAACTCAGCTCTTTCTCCAAAAAATCTAGCTCATGTACTCACAATACTTGTGATTTGCAAAAATTCAATGGTGAATTGAGATGGGATTTGATAAAATACAATGGTTAATGAAAAATGGGTTTTGATTGATTTTGTTAACGGAGATTAGGAACATGTAAAAATCAGATGAAATCAACTTCTTCTCTCTCTTCTTCGTCCTCTTTCTCTATCATTTATCTTCTTTTCTTTGAATTTTGACAATTTTTTATTTGCTGTAGATCTGGCCGCCATGGACGCTCGAAACGTCGAGGAATTGAAGAAGAAAGAAGAATGAAGCTATTGTCAACTTTTTTTATTTCCATATTTAATTAATAAAATATCAACTGGTTTTAAACATCATGTTGTTTTTTGAGCTTTAAATGATGCGTTTTTATTTTCTGTTAGTTTTTTTTAACGGAGGTTGACGTTGACTCGCATCAACATAGGAGGTCTTGTTTAGCGGGTGACTTTGGAGTTGAGGAAATTAATTTGCACAGAAAAAAGTTTAGGGTTAATTTTGCAAAATTAATTTAGTTTACTGGTTTTTTTGCACAAAACCCTTGATTTTACATTATGATAAACTCTTTAGTCGGTTTTGGTTTTCCTATATATGCATTGTAATTCATCTTATAATTCTCAATCAGAATAATTGAGAGAAAAACCCTTCCTTGTCTCTCGATCTCTTTTGTTCGTTTAAGCTTAATCTAGCTAAGGATCTCTTCTACAATCGCAGATTCTTTGCAATCTTATTATATAAAGCTGGATGCACACGACCTGGTTGCGACACATAGGATTTTTATAAAATTCAGGATCGCGACATGTGTCACTTTTAAGTTTATGTCCGTTAAGATCGTGACACGTGTCTTAGAAAAAAAGGAGAACTTAAAAAAAAAGAATTCCAGATAAATGTTAATTAAAAAAAAACGAAATTTAATTTAATCTATTATATCAAAAAGGAAAAAATAATATTTGCCATATCCAAACAGAAAAAGGTTTCCCATTCATCAAATTTTTTTATTATATAAAGTTGGATGCTTTTAGATAAAGAATTTTAAAAAAAAAATTAATCTATTACAGTTAAAAGAAATAAAAATATATTTGTCATATCCTAATAGAGAAAGGTTTTCCATTCATCAAATTAATATTATCCAAACAAATAATAAAATCAAAATAATGTAATAAATAAAATCCTATTTGTATAATGTTATGTAATCAAATTAATATTATTCAAACAAATAATAAAATCAAAATAATGTAATAAATAAAATCATATTTGTATAATGAAATAAATAATGTTATGTAAACTAAATTTCATATAACTGAATAGGTTACTTGAATCCCTATAAAAGAGAGTCAAAGTTTCTCAATCATAAATTCATCAAAGCAAATTCATCAGATCCCTTTGATTCTATTTCTCCAATTTAAAAATCATGTTTTTGACAGTTTTGCGATACATATGATTTTTATAACTCACAAAATTGTGACATTTGTTTTAGAAAAAAAAATTTATGAAAGTATGAAGATTGTAACATGTGTCATAGAATAAAAATAATAAAAAAATTAATATGTATAAGACTAAATAAAAATTAGAAAATCAGATAATAAATAATTAAAATGAAAAAATAATAAATCCATTAAAAGTAATAAAAAACAGAAAACAAATAATTTAAATTCTTTTGTTACATCTATTAAGAAAAGGAAAAAATGCATTTCGAAAAGGAAAAATATCAATATATATTATTTATAGGGTAAATTTAACTAATATACACAAATAATATGACAATTAAGTATTTTGCAAAATAACATGATAATTAGTTTTTTAGCAGAGAGAATATATTCTGTAAACCAAAACTATCCTTTTAATCCTAAGATATTACATAAGTTGCCATTGACTTATCCGATGCCATTAACATATTTAATTATTATAATATCATTAGTTAACGTGATAATAAAATAGTTATCATAATATCATATAAGTTAGCATGATAATCAATATTGTTATCACAATATGTTACATTAAGTTAACATGATAATACGAAAGTTATCTTTAAATTACTTTCTAAAGGAAAGTTATCACGATATTACATTAGTTAGCATGATAATCAAATATTGTTATCATAATATCACCAATATGTTGTGATAACTTATTTAATTATCGTGCTAACTAAAATCGTATTATGATAACTATTTAACTTAATTGTTAACAGGCATGTTAGCATATTATTTGGAATTTGCTAACACATTAAAAATATTTTGTAGAGTCAAGGTGTTGTGAGTCTTTGGCCAATGAATAGTGAGTGAACAATATAATAATAAAACTGTCCGTGTCACCCATTTAATTATAGGATTATTGATGTATATTCCTTGCAATTTCCCGGCAAAAACAAAATTGAGAAAGAAAAAATATAAATAGAAAACTAACAAAATAATATTCAAGCAATTAACTAAAATTAAAAAATTATAATCGATATTCTAATTTTAAATAGTTTGATTTTCAAATTTTGTTAGGTAAAAAAAATTGAAATAAAGATTTCATCAATTAAAATCTCTTGAATGGAATAATAAAAGTTTAATTAATTAATCAGTTGATCAGATTTAGACATGAGTAAGTGTTTATGTATTGGATAAAAATAATATTAAAACAAATTAATTCATTTTGTCATATCATAAATTCAAAAGAAAAATCAATTATAATAAAAATGTAAAAGTATTACCAATTTTATTTTATTTAAATATTTTTTATCGGGTTTTCAATATTATTTTGTTTACGTTTAAAAATGATCAAATTTTGTTTAATATTTTCCATGTTTTTATTATAAAATCTTAAAATATACCCGCGTATACGCGGGCCTTAATCTAGTTGAGTATAAAGTCTGTGTTTTAAGAACAGAGATTCTGAGTTCTATCAGTTTACTAAGGATTGCAGGTTTACCTCTATCAACGGTATCAGATGTCACTCGATTCTCCGGCAACCATGGCGGCAGAAACACGAGCCCAAACAGCACTCAAAGAATCTATTCTAGTCGAAATTGAAACCGCCTTAGGACCACAGCTTGAAGAGATGTTCAACCGAACAGAAACCCTTGAGATCAAGATGGACAAGCAGAATGCAAAGTTGGATAAAGACTTAGCAGACATGTTTGAAGCCATTCGCTTGCTATCCAACCCTCATCAACCCTCCTCACCCAACTCTACCAACAACAAGACCCCACAACATCTGTTACCACCTACAGCTACTCATGACACAACTCGTACTCGTTCTAGTACGTCTAACAACTACTCTGGCATGACACATCTAGCTAAGTTGGACTTCCCTAGATTTAATGGAGATAGGATTAAAGAATGGTTGTTTAAAGTTGAGCAGTTCTTCACCATCGACCATATACCGGAGGATATGAAAGTTGGTATCGCCTCTATCCACTTTGATGGTCCTGCTGCTACCTGGCACCAATCAGTTATACAATCTGCTGTTGGTACATCCATCCTTCACGATTGGTCTTCTTATAAGCTTCTCTTGCATGAACGCTTTGCTGATCTCTTAGATGACCCTATCGCTGAGCTAAAACAACTGCAAGAAACCGATGACATCAGTGAGTACCATGGCCGCTTTGAGCTTATCCGTACTCGTGTTACCATGACTGAAGAAGATCTTGTTAGTAACTACTTGGCGGGACTCCGAACTGATACGCAGATGCATATTCGTATGTTCCAACCCATCACCATCCGTCAATGTTTACTTCTCGGAAGATTGTATGAGAAGGCACATACAAAGAAACCCTACACCCCCACTTTGCCACAGAATCGTACAAGCAAAGGTCTTCTTCCCTTTAAGAAAGAGCTTGACCAGAAACCTAGCTTCACTATGCCTTCCGACAAACCTAAAACTCCACTCCCTTTCCTCACAATTGCTCAGATGGGTCAACGAAGAGCTGATGGTCTTTGTTACTATTGTGACGAGAAATACACTCTTGAGCACTTTCTCAAGATGCATAAGAGGACTCAATTGTATATGCTCACTACCGAGGATGAAGGCTCCGATGACGAAATTCTTGATGAGCAAGTTACGGAAGAACAGACAGGAGTCATAGCTCAGATTTCTATAAACGCAATGGCTGGGATCACTGATTATATGACGATGCGAGTTCGTGGGCATCATGGGAAACGCCCTTTGTTTTGTTTGATCGATTCCGGTTCTACTCATAATTTCATTGACAAAAAAAATGGCTGAAAAACTGGGTTGCAAGTTGAAATCTGCAGGATCTCCCCGTGTTCTTGTCGCTGACGGTCGTAGACTTGGTGTTAACTATAAAGTGGATCAGTTTCAGTGGAATTTCCAGACTACTTCTTTTCAGTCCGATGTTTTAGTTCTCTACTTGGCGGATGCGATATTGTGTTGGGTGTTCAATGGCTTGCCACATTGGGACCAATCACATGGGATTTTCTGAAACTAGAGATGCAATTCAAGTATGGTCCATCGAAGGTCTTGCTCCATGGTATTAGGGAAGGCTCTGTTCGTCATGTGAAAGCTTCAAAGCTGAATAAACTTCAAGACGAAACTGCACAGTTGGCTATGCTTTATGTTCAGGACTACGTTAAGGATGAACATATTATGCTCTACTCCCTTGATGCAAAACCTTCATCCGAACCAGGAGAACCGTTTCTTGACCAGTTGCTTGAAGAGTTTTCAGATATCTTCTTAACGCCGTCTACTCTTCCTCCGTTTCGCGAACATCACAACTATCAGAATCCTTTACTAGAAGGCTCAAACCCTGTGAATCAAAGACCTTACCGTTATGCACTTCATCAGAAGAATGAGATAGATAAGATTGTGCATGATATGCTGGATGCAGGTACGATCCAAAACAGCTCTAGCTCTTATGCTTCACCTGTTGTTTTAGTCAAGAAAAAAGACGGAACTTGGCGTCTTTGTGTGGATTATTGAGCATTGAATGGAATGACAATTAAGGATCGCTTTCCAATTCCCTTAATAGAAGATCTCATGGACGAGTTAGGAGGCTCACGTGTTTACTCTAAGATCGATTTGCGAGCTGGATATCATCAGGTACGAATGGATCCATCTGATATTCATAAAACTGCTTTTAAAACTCATGATGGACATTACGAATACTTAGTAATGCCTTTTGGGCTTACCAATGCTCCTGCTACATTTCAAGGCCTCATGAATTCAGTGTTCCAAACCTTGCTACGGAAGTTTGTCCTCATTTTTTTTGAATCTCATGTACACCACCTACGTCAAGTGTTTGAGCTGATGCGAAAAAATAGTTTGTTTGCTAAGCAGAGTAAATGCATTTTTGCTACAGAGAGAGTCGAATATTTGGGTCACTATATTGAGGCTCAAGGCATCTCTACGGATCCTACCAAGGTTCAAGCGGTTTCCAATTGGCCAGTTCCCAAGAATCTTAAGCAGCTATGGGGATTTCTGGGTTTGGCAGGATATTATCGTCGCTTTGTTCGGAATTTCGGGACAATTGCACGACCCTTAACGACCTTAACAAAGAAAGATTCGTTTGTTTGGTCTTCAGAAGCCCAAGATGCGTTTGAACGTTTGAAACATGCTTTATGTGAAGCTCCAGTCTTAGCGTTACCGCTTTTTGACAAACCATTTGTCGTCGAGACCGATGCATGTGGGGAAGGAATCGGTGCTGTTCTGATGGAAGAGGGACATCCGTTAGCTTATATCAGTCGCCATCTCAAAGGTAAACAATTACATTTGTCCATCTACGAGAAAGCTACTCGCTGTGGTATTTCCTGTACAAAAATGGCGTCATTATCTACTCAACAGTCACTTTGTGATTAAAACGGATCAACGGAGCTTGAAGTACCTTTTAGAGCAGAGGCTCAACACACCAATTCAGCAACAATGGCTACCCTTACTGGAATTTGATTACGAGATCCAGTATAAACAGGGGAAGGAAAATTTAGTTGCCGACGCACTCTCTCGGATGGAAGGATCGGAAATTCTCAACATGGCTATGTCTGTCCTTGAATGTGATTTCTTACAGCAGATTCAAGCTGGTTATGAAACAGATTTGAGTCTTAAGGACTTAATTGCAGAGTTGAAGCTGAAACCGAAGGCAAAATCTCACTACTCTTGGTCACAGAATATATTGAGACGCAAGAGTAAGATTGTTGTCCCTATGATTGATAGCTTACATACTACTATATTGGAATGGTTACACTGTTCAGGTGCGGGAGGCCATTCGGGTCGTGATGCTACAAATCAACGTATTAAAGGGTTGTTCTATTGGAAAGGAATGGCTAAGGATATTCAAGCGTTTATACGGAGTTGCACCGTTTGTCAACAATGTAAGTATGACTCTACTGCATATCCAGGTTTGATTCAACCATTGCCAATCCCTGAAGCACTTTGGACTGATATCTCCATGGATTTTATTGATGGTTTGCCTATATCTTTTGGCCACACGGTGATTTTTGTGGTGGTGGATAGGTTGAGTAAGGCAGCTCACTTTATTGCTCTTTTTCATCCCTACACAGCCGCTTCTGTGGCGCAGGCTTTCCTAGACAATGTGTTTAAACTCCATGGTTTGCCTAAGTCTATTGTTAGCGATCGAGATGCAGTCTTTCTCAGTGAATTTTGGCGTGAACTCTTTAGCCTACAGGGTGTTGCTCTAAACTTTTCCTGCGCATCTCATCCTCAGAGTGATGGTCAGACGAAGGTGGTCAACCGTTGTTTAGAAACGTACTTGCGTTGTATGTGCAGCGATCGTCCTGACTTGTGGAGCAAGTGGTTACCTCTCGCAGAATATTGGTACAATACAAACTTCCACACTTCGACGCAATTGACTCCTTATGAGGCTGTCTATGGACAATTACCACCACAACACTTGCCTTATCTTCCTGGTGAATCGAACGTTGCTGTGGTCGCCAGGAATTTACAGGAACGTGAGAATATGATTTTGATTTTAAAGTTTCATCTCTTACGGGCACAACATCGGATGCAACACTTTGCAGATCAACATCGCACAGAACGTGGCTTTGAAATTGGCGATTTTGTCTTTGTTAAGTTGCAACCTTACCGACAGCAATCGGTGGTTCTTCGTGCCAACAAGAAGCTAGCCCCAAAGTATTTTGGTCCTTACAAGATCCTCGACAAATGTGGTCATGTTGCTTACAAGTTGCAGCTACCATCTTCATCACAAGTTCATCCTGTTTTTCATGTCTCTCACCTAAAACTTCACATAGGCGCTGCTTTAAATTCTACACATCTCCTATTCAGCGTCTCTGATGTCTTGCTCAAGGAACACGAGAGCATTTTGGAGCGAAAGATGGTCCAACGTCAAGGTCGTGCTGCAACCATGGTTCTGGTCAAATGGTCTCATCTCCGTGCAGAAGAAGCTACGTGGGAGTTCCTTTTTGATTTGCAGAAGAAGTTCCCCAATTAGCCATTTTAATTTAGTAAAGATATATAAAAATATTTAAAATATTATATAAAATATAGTAAATTTCCGTCCGAGTAATCTCGATTTAATTCCAATTTTTTTAAAATAGCTAATCTCAGCTTGACTGTCCAATTTTCCATGTTTGTTAAGTCCATTTAGGATCCATTAAACTCTTGCCCGTTTAGTTAAGTATGTAGGGCCTGGATTGGCCCCGTGGGTTGGAGTTAAGTGGTCTTTGCTCCTCTTTCTTCACTTCTCTCTTTCTGTTTTCAGTCACGAGCTAGCTTCTTTCATTTTGCTCGAGGGTGACTGATTTTGATTGAGAGATTGAGATCAATCCTCAACAGTTATGACTACAAGATGCTACTTCTTTGCTTTAACGATTTAATGATTTAGCTAAAAAAAATTAATATCTTGATTAGTCTTTTTCCCTGAATTACTATGGTTAATTGTTACAAAAGATATCAAGATAGAGTAACTATTACTGTAGAAACTCTATACATTATGGGACCATGATATTTTATTAATTATGCAAATTGTCAATTTATTGTTAGATTATTTGGATCAAACACTTAATTTGAGATCAGAAAATTCTATTAATATTTCGAATTATTAATTTATTGAGTTTTAATTTATAGTATTTTTACTGTACCATATAAAAAATTCATATAAATTAGAATAATACCCGTGTTATAGTGTTATACATGGGATGAAATTATTATGAAGTAAAATTAATTAATATAATTTTAGTTAAGAAAATCTGGTTTAATTGTTTAATTGATAAACTGGAATTTACTGTATATTCTTTTAAATACTATTTCTTTCTTTTGTTATAATCACGTATTTATGATTATGTAAGAATATGGTAATCATGTATTTATGTCACTGAACTAGTATATATTTTTCTTAAATTTCTGATCTCAGGCATTTTCGTCAACTTGGCGTAGTGAAGTTACATGGTCAAAACGACAATGGTTGGTTTCATTTCAAGTGATATAAAGATTGATGTTCAGTTCTTAGTTGGTGTCAACGTTATAATATTAAAAAATACAACAAATAGAACAATTTCAATTATTAGATAAATCACTAAACCACTCATCAACCTCTACAATTTGTATGTTAGTATTTGATTTATTTTCCTTTTGTAACATTATTTTATAAGCTATGTATTATGTCATTCTAACTTAACTAAGCAACCTCTTGAAAGCTATAGCTTGAAAGTGACTTTATACCTTATATTATTATTTGGTTTGTTATATATATAAGTCGTAGTATGCGATTGGAAACTAATGCTAATCATAAATAAATCTATCGATACATAAATTATTTATATGTGGTCGGTTAGCAAAAATTGATAGTTTATGATAGATGATAACCGAACATGGCCTCTATCTTCTTTTTACATAAACAAAATATATAGAAAAGAAGGGATTGTAAAATTTTGCCTTTTCTTCTTAATTCTAGTAACCTATGTGGCTATGTATCACACAAATCTCGTTACCTTATCTATATGGCGTAGGATATGTACAACAAGGATACGTAAGTGAAATCGTGGGACACGCTGGTACATTTATCATCTTACAACAATTTGATGATAAAATACAGTGATTTATGTCCATGGTATGGGCAGGATACCAAAATCGCAAGAAAAGATGTGTTGAAGATGATGGATTGTATTTAGATATACAAAGCTGAGATACATGAATTTGTTGGTGTGTCAAGCAAAGTCTTTGGTGAGTTAAAAGAAGTTTTTTGACGACAAAAGTGGATAACAACATGAAGTAATACATGGAAAAGGCCCTTCAGAAACTAAAAGGAGAGAAAAACGAAGACATCTCAAATAATCGAGTCATATTACTAACCCAAAAAAAAAAAAAATCATTTTAGTTAAAAAAAAAATACCAAATTTGGTGGCTACGTGGTTCTTCTAATTGGTTCCCTACTCGAATTGGGTCCATTATCCCTTGCCGTGTACGTGAATATCACCTAACATAATTTGATAAGGATAAGTTTAAATATTCAGTTTAAAGAAATACGAACACAAATTTGTAGTAGCTTAGGGATATAATTTAAATGTTGACAGATAATTTCTGTCTATTCTCTATATTACAGTACTTGATCGGAAGTAAAACTTAATTTAGATGTAGATTAGTAGATATTATATCTATAATTCCTATAAGCTGCTAGATAGTTGTTAACTTTGGGACAATTGATGCTTAGAACACTCTTCTTTGGATCATCATTCTTTTCAAATATGATTAACTCTCTTGTAAGAATATGCCATTTTTGGCAAAACCTGATACTTAACTTTAAAATTCTGTCGAGAATTTGGTTCGACCTCTGATTAATAAAGGGCTGATTAAAAGAGTTGGATCCGGTTATTCTATTTATGTTTGGAATGACCCATGGATTTCAGATTCATGCCCGAGGCCAGCTATCTCCACAAGATTCAATTACTATTCTTACCTCCAGGTGTGTGATTTAATTGATCCGGTGACTTCAACTGGAATCTTCCACTATTACAACAACTGTTCGTCAGTACAGATATGAACCTTATAACCGGTATTACTACTACCCACTTACAGAGACCGGACTCTCTCGGCTGGTTTTTCTGAAAAACGGGTTGTTACACGGTTAAATGAGGGTATCAAACAGCACAGAAATTCCCTGACAGGGTGAACAATGTACCACGGTTTGGACCCGATATTCGGGGACTCGAAGCACATGCCTAGAAAGTGAAATGCCCCCCGAAGATCAATCATTTTATCTGGCAAGTTATAACTGGGTGTGTATCGGTAAGCGCAAGAATAAAAAGTCGAAGAATTTCAATAGATCCTATATGCATGAGATGTGGAATGGCGGAAGAAACCATAAACCACGCCATATTCGAATGTCCGCCGGCTGTTCAGGTTTGTGCTTTGCTCCAATCCCAGCCCCACCACATAGATTCACGGGTCATGCATTATTCACAAATATAGCATATCTATTATGGCAATTATCAAAAGATGAGACAATGTTAGTGTTCCCGTGGTTGATGTGGTATATTTGGAAGTCCAAGAATGATAAGTTATTCTCAAACATGGATCGGGATCCCCGCGAGGTTGTATTATTAGCAGAAACGAAAACAACTGCTTGGGAGTCTGCTCAAATACGAGTAGAGTTGGCAGAAATGCAGGGCAGTTCAAGGATTTTTAACCAAAATATGGAGTTGGGCGAAACATGTCAAATTGATGGATCATTGAAGGAAAATGTCAATAGAGCAGGCTTGGGATGGTATTACTGCAACACACATACTGGGGAGCGGTTAATGGGCGCCAGCAACTTGAGGAGGTGTCTAATACCCCTACAAACGGAATTAGAGGCATTGGCATGGGCTATGCAAAGCATGCGATACAAACGAAATGCGTAATGCGATTTGAGACGGGGTGAAGATGATGTCTACACCGGAGGAGTGGTCGGCGTTCTCAATACTATTAGAGGAAGTAGCTAAATGCAGGAAGCATTTTTTGTCATTCTCCATTGCACACATTAAAAGGGAAAGAAACAAGAAGACAAACAAGTTAGCACGAAGTGCAAGAGATTTCCTTCACAATGTATCTATATATATAAAGTTCATGATCATTATATTTTATCTTCTTATATTTTAATTTTTTATGATCATTCATTAATATAATCATCAAATAATACAATAGTTTTTTGCAAGAATTTGAAAATTTATTTTTATAAAAGAAAATAAATAGTATGTATAGATCTTAAAAACTATTATTTAATCATTATAATAATAAAAATATATTATACAAAGAGACAAGATTGAATATGACGAGGCGAAAAAAATAGAATCGGAGAAGAGCGGAATTTTTTTGTTTACTTCTTATGATATTAAGTGACGAGACGACATCTAAAGGAACGGAAAAAAACGGAATAGGAAAAGACGGAAATTTCACCTACCTCTAATTATATTTAGGGGTGGAACGGGAAAAAAAAACATAATGAGAGAGGAGAAGATAGAAATGTTGGACGGGACAAAATGAAAAGAAATGGAATGTGACGGGATTGGACAGGACGGGCCAAATTATTTCAGTTTAAGATATATAATTAATTATTTTGATGTTTATTTTTACTCTTAAATACAAATAACACCAATTTAATTGGAAATTTAATTATTTAAGCTAATAATAAATTTAAAAATAAAGGAAAAATACTTTTATTAGAAATAACATCAAAAAGAAATTTATTAAAACAATTATTACTGATTTATTGATTTAGTAATCCCCTAATCCGTTTCCAGAATTTTCTTACTCGATTTAGAGAGATCAAAGATAAAGATGCTCATTTTTCTCTTCGAAATTGTTTAGTTGATCATTTATGGAAAAAATATACAAATGGTTCTAATTAAAAATAAAATTCAGTTTATGTTGTTATTTTTAGTCTTGTAATAATGTATTATTAATATTTTCATAATTAATTTAAATAGTTATAATAAATTGTGAAACTTTTGAAGAAAACAAAATTATGGGGCAATTTTTAATATATATAAATATACAATGTAAATGTAGAATATTCGTTTTGAAGTAAAAAATGAGGCAATACATTGGAGCAAAACCTGTTTTATTTTGACATTTCTTTATTTTGGAGCAAAATACGAGGCAATACATTGGAAATGCCCTAATTATATTTAGGGAACGAGAATGGAATAAACAAAATAGAAAGAATCATAATGGGATAGGATGGGACTAGATGAGACGGGGACATGCAGGACAAACGGGACAAGAAAGAACATATATGATGACAATGAACGAAATGGGACGAGATGAAACAAGATGGTACAAAAAATTTGTTGGGTATAATTAAATTGAAGTAATATGAGTATAATATATTTGAAAAGAATATTAAATTTGCGGAAAAACAATAAAACTAACACAACCTGCGCTACGCGCGGGTCACCCCCTAGTACCACATAAACTCTTCTCCACTAGCTTGAATCGCTGAGCTGTTTTAGATGTAGAGGCTGCTGCCAAAAAAAAATAAATAAAAAATCTGTCGAGAGTTCAAAACGTTCAACCAGTCACCTTGGTCTTGTTATTACTTGACCCATTAAAACACTTAAATGAACTGATGTGTTTTTTTTTGTCAAGGATTTTTTTTTTTTTTTAATGCAAGGATTTATTTTAAATGCAAGGACTTTTTTTATGTGATTAATGGTTGAATTTTTTGTTTTTTCTTCGTTAACATAGATTGATTGTTTTTATGTGTATAATTGTGTTTTTGGATGTAAATGTATAATTAACCATATAATAACATTAACATGTTATGCAATATCTATTGCCTATTATATCTGTAGTTTAAATCACCCTAAATTTGTAGTTTAAATCACCCTAACTTATCATATGTACAAAACTAGTAGTCGACCCGCATAATAGTGCGGAATTACGCCTTTAGTTTTGTTTTGTTTTGGTACCCAATCTGACCAATTGACATATTTAATTTTTGGTATGACTGAACCATCCGCCTATTTGTTATAAGTTATTGTGCATATCCACGTTCAATACCCAAACAGTTTGGGTCGTTTTTTTGTGTTTTTTTCACTTAATACTAGTATCCAAAGAGTTTTTTTTCTCTTGTTAATCCAATCAGTTTCAATCTACTACTCAATATAAGACGGAAAATGAAAACTAGAGGTTATATGATTGAATAACAATTGATACGGAATAATATAATATTACATGTTTAATTTCGGGTATTGACCTGTACAAAATCTACTACTTAAAACATACAAAAATAGTTTATTAATAATAGAAAATGGGAAATTTACATTAATAAAAAAGCTTCCGAAGAACAAAGAAATCAATAAATCATCAGAAATTTGAATGTTTAATCATCATAATAGTCAGGAAAAGACAGAATAAGTCTTCGTCAAACTTTCTCCAACTTCTATTGATCCACCTCTCACCATTCCTTAATCTCCACTTTAACTCCCAAACCCAAATCCGAAAACCCCTCTTCACCAACTTAATAACCTAATAACAAATTCCAACGATCAGATGATTCGAATCAAACACCAAGAAACCGTAAAATTCATCAAAGGAAAACAAGAACGATGACAACGCAAAAACAGAGAAGAACAGAGAAGAAAAGTCTCTGTTTTAAACACTACTACAAATGGCTCCTCTGTTTTTCCCTTACTCTCTATTTTCTTGCTTCTTTCTTTCTTCATCATGACCAAGAAGACTCTTCTTCTCGATCAAACCCTCTTTTAACCAACCATAAAACCAAGCTTCTCGCTTCTAGTGCCATGTTTGAATCTAAATTCCATGATCACACACTTGGTTCTGTCCCTCAACGTCCCAACATCAAAACAGGTACATATATTAAACAGAGTTTTAAGCTTCAAAATTAACGTTTTAGCTATAAACAATAATTTTTTTTTTTTTGATTTTCTTTTAGACTTATTCAACAATTTGAAAATCTACGTCTATGACTTGCCTTCAAAGTTCAACAAAGATTGGTTAGAGAACAACAGATGCAGCAACCACCTCTTCGCCGCGGAGGTCGCTCTTCACAAGGCGTTGCTCAGCCTCGACGGAGACGTACGGACGAAAGATCCGTACGAAGCCGATTTCTTCTTCCTCCCTGTCTATGTTTCTTGCAATTTCAGCACCATCAATGGTTTTCCAGCGATTGGTCATGCCCGATCACTAATCAAAGACGCTATAGGGCTTGTCTCTGCTCAATACCCGTTTTGGAATCGAACCAATGGCTCTGACCACGTCTTCATCGCCACACACGACTTTGGCTCTTGCTTCCACACTATGGTTAGTTAAAATAATATTTTAAACAAAACTATTTTATTTTTATTTTGCGCAAACTATTGTCTTCTAATTCTTTGTTTTTCTTATAAAATAATTTGTTTATGTTGTAAATGAAATTATTTTTGAAGGAGGATAGAGCAATAGCTGATGGGGTACCGAAGATTTTGAAAAATTCTATAGTTTTGCAAACGTTTGGTGTTAGTTATAGTCATCCATGTCAAGAGGTGGAGAACGTGGTGATACCACCGTACGTATCGCCGGAAAGTTTTCAGAGAACTCAAAAGAATATTCCGGTAGCTAAAGAACGAGACATTTGGGTATTTTTCCGGGGAAAAATGGAAATTCATCCCAAAAACATTAGTGGACGCTTTTATAGCAAGTAAACAAAACAAAACATTATTTTCTTAAAACTAAAATTAAATAATTTGTATATATACATATTGAAACTATTCTTGTTTTCATTATTATTTTTATTAGGCAAATAAGGACGGAGATATGGAGAAGTTACGGTGGTGACCGCCGGTTTTATCTTCAGCGACAAAGATTTGCTGGTTACCAATCAGAAATCGCTCGTTCTGTTTTCTGTTTGTGTCCTCTCGGGTGGGCTCCATGGAGCCCAAGACTTGTTGAGTCAGTAATCCTTGGCTGCGTGCCTGTGATTATTGCTGATGGAATTCGTTTGCCGTTCCCTTCTGCCGTGCGTTGGCCTGAAATCTCGCTCACTGTATCTGAGAGAGACGTTGGAAAGCTTGGGGAGATTTTGGAACACGTGGCGGCTACTAATTTGTCTGTTATACATAAGAATCTAGAAAATTCATCTATTAAACAAGCCCTTATGTTTAATGTTCCTCCCAGGGAGGGAGATGCCACATGGCAAATTTTGGAAGCTTTGTCAAAGAAATTGAATAGATCTGTTAGAAGGTCGAATATTTTCGTGTAAACCGATATACCTTTTTGACACATGTATATTACTACTTTAAGAATTAAGAAGGGTTAATTTGGTAGATAACAGTATTGAGTGTCAAAATTAAGAATATAGCTATTGTAAACTCAAAATTAAGTAAGTAACAAAGAGAAATATTTTTGGACGATTTTGCCCTTATATAGAGAAACTGATAGTGTTATGTTTTTTCTATACTATGCTCTTGATTTCTATACTGTTTATATGTTCTTGATTTTTGTATACTGTTTGTTTGGTATATTTGAAAATACAATACAATAACTTTGATGAGATTGTGTCTAAAATACGATTTAGAAAAATTCACCATTCTTGTAAAATAGATTCTTTGCCATATACAATTGAGTTTTAAACGAATTAATTATATTTAGTTATATTTCATACAAAATAGAAACTATATTACTATACTACTGTATGTAATTATCAAACAGACAAATAATATACAACTTGACAGCTACAATTTCATTAAAGCAATTAACCAAAAATGAGAAAATAGGTTTCAATCGAAATCTAGAAATGAAAATTATCAATTGGAGCGGTGATGGCAAAACTGCGGCAGTCAAGACACGGAGGTACAAAAGAAGATTGGAATTGGATTTGCCTTCCTTTGGAACCTACAGATACTGTTCGCCAATACTGTTGTCGGTTGACGTTCTTCGTCGGTCCAAATGATACATCGATGCCAACAATGGAGATGCAAATTGAAAAAGAAAACAGTATTGGAGAGAAATCATCGCAAGGGCCAATTGATCTCAATGACATAATTAACCTGAGTTTTGTTTAGATCCATAAATTTTAGAATCTGTAAACCCAAATCTTCTCTGTAAAATTCGCCCACAATTGACAATTCAGCAAAACCCAGGTCTGGTTCTCTTCATCTGTAATCTACCAAGAACCCTAGAACCAACTTTTCAAAATAACCCAGAAAATAGAGAAATTACAGAAACTACATAGAAATCCAATTTGATTAGAGCAAGAGAAAATCAATACAACAACTCAAATAATTAAACAATAAACCCTAAACACGAATCTGTAAACCCAAACCTTACACTCCCAAACCCTAAACACTACCATTTTTAACCTTGTAAACCACAAAGAAATCCAATTAGAATAGAGTGAGGGAAACTGAGAAAAATTACAGCCAAAGATGAAATTCAATCAAAGTGGAGGAACAGAAATCGGCAAAAAGCCAAAAGGGAATTGGAAGATTATCCATCGTGAGGGAGAGAGAAGAAGAAGAAAAAAACTGAAAGTGAAAAGAAGAGAAAATTTAAGAAAAGTGTTTCTTTTTGTTTCAAGGAGGTTATTATGGTAAATATTATATAAAATATACAGTATATCGTATTCAAACGTTTGTTACTGATATATTCTTAATATTATGGTTTTTTATGTATATTGGCTGCAATTTTCCAATTAAGAAAGAAAAAAGAGATGCGACTGAAAAATAATCTAGATAATTTTTTAATTCTAAAATTTATATTCAAAACTTTTAAATCCTACATACAACTCAAAACTCAAAGTTTTATATTTTTTTTTTTTGATAAAGAACTCAAAGTCTTATATTCTAACCCAAAAACCAAAATTCTTAATCATAAAAACATAACTTGATACAAATGATATAGATATACAGTGGAGCAATAAAGTAATAATCATTATAAGATAGTAAATGTCTCCAGTCCCAATTCGGCCCCGTGTAAAAATAAGCAATATGCGATAAAATGATAAGATAAGAATATTTTTGAAACTCCTATGTAAAAATATGGTCCTAATAAGTTATAAATAATATTTAGATAAACCTATATATATATATATATGCCTAAGAAATTTTATTAAACTATAAATTTAAGTTTCTCGCTAACTCTTTTACTATAGAAAAACTCATGATGCAATTTTTATATGCATATAAAATTGTTAAATAAGTTATAAATACATTAATTCTTTGCTTTTATGTAAATACATTTTAGTAGCTATAATTTCTTCTAAAATTTTAATTTTAATCATGTATCGAATTTTATAAATATTCAAAAAAGCAAATAGTATATTTTTTATTACGATATTCAAAACAATTACTCACATTTAACTTTATGCATGTCATATTAACAAATAAATCTTCTAAATTATTAATACATTATTATATGAAGAATAATTTTTGAATATTATGAATTAAAAAATATATTTATATAAATTATTAAATATTATTTTATCTATAAATTAATATCTCTATAAGATAATAAATTTTTAAAGTCCCAACATGATTACTTTATAGAAGTTTTATTGTATATCCTTAAAGTTTTTTAAAGTAAATTTTAACAACTCTAACACACGAGATCTTAAATTTTAAACAAAACAAAAAGTTCTTAACATTGAAAACATAACCTTAATCATATATAGTTCCTTTATTTTTTAAAAATTATTATATTTGTATATTTTTCTTGTTTTGTTTTATCTATTTAAAACAATCTGATAGGTTACCTCTGCTCTGCCAATTGAACTAGGGCCGGATTTAATATTACTTCCCACATTCATTATTACTAAGGTGATTCTCTTGCGCCTTGTACAGAAATAAATTTACTTTTAACAATCAAGTTTACAATTTATTTTTATTTTGGATTTATTGATATCAAATATTATGCACGAAAGCAAACCTAAAAAAGGTTTTATGTCCAATTGACATATATTTTTTAAATATTAGGGTTAATTTGGCAGATAATAATATTGGGGAAAAAACTACACTCAATAGCCATGCTATACACAAAATTAAGTGACTAGCAAAGAGAAAACTTTTTACCCCATTTTCTCCCTAAAAGAAGCGGGAAACTTCTTTTCCCATTTCCCTCTCATTTTCTTCACCCTAATTATCGCAAGCTGGCGATTAGATTCTAGCGCTGAAGATTTCCTAAAAATTAGTCTTCAATCATGATTTATGTTTATCAATAATTCTGAACGTAATTGATAAAACTATATTGCGATCGGATTAATTTGAGTTACAAAAGTATGTTAGTCAATTTAAGTCATTTAGTATTGTTACATATCTTTACAACTCTGAATCTTTCTGTATTAAAATGGAACAAAATTTATAATACAGTAGAATGATTGATAAACTGAATCCAAATCTAAAATAACAAATTACAAAATCGAAGATCTTAAGCTTTTTTAACTATTCTCAATTAAAATAGTATAGTACATGATTTCAAATAGTATAAAACATGATGTTATCGCCATCGCCGGAGACCCGTTCTCGAGGACTCCAAGATGCACACCACATAGATCTAGTCGGAACAATACCCTGTAGATCTAGTCGAACCACACCCCATGGAAGACCTCCGTCCAAAGCCGCCAAAACCGTCGAGCAAACGAAAGCAGAGGTAGAGAGACAACCGGAAACCTCAACAGAGGAGAGCGCCAAGACACCACTCCCCTCTCCAAATCAAGCCACACCGGAGAACGACACCACCGAGTCCAAAAAGAGATTCAAAAGTCGAAGAAGCGCCGCCGCCGCTGCGGGAAACAGAGCCACCGCAAAGAGCGGAAAGAGGATAAGATGAAGGAGAAGAAAGAGCCTCCCCCGGCGGCGGATGATAGATTTCCCTGCCGTCCAAACCAATCGCAGATCTGAGTACATATATGATGAGAAATCTTTGATTTCGCCTCGAGCCGAAGGAAAGACGAAGACTTTTTCTGTAATTGAACATTTTTGCAGCAGGCTCACTCCCCAACAAAAAATTAACCTAATTTTCAAAATAAAATAAAATTTAACCTACGAGGACTAAGTTGGGAATAAGGTAGAATATACACCATATATTCTAGCCATGGGTTTCCTATTGCTATTCAATTAATTATGCTCCGTAATATGGTCACTCACTGCAATTTCCCTAAATATTATTGAACTCAATGTTTTGGAAATGCTCCATTTCAGAGCAGGGAGGGAATGAGCAGTTTGGGAGCAGGAGCAATTTCTAAATGCTCTACTAAATGCTCTTTTAAAAAAACTTGATTGGATTAGAAAGAGCTTAATGCTACGCCTCTACCAATCAAGGCCTAGGTGATTCTCTTGCACCTTGTACATAAATAAATTTACTTTTAACAATCAAATTTACAATTTAGTTTTATTTTGGATTTGTTGATATCAAATATTATGCACGAAAGCAAACCTAAAAAAAGTTTTATGTCCAATTGACATAATGGTATATACAATTTTTAAACCTTTACATTTTTGTTTGCGATGATTATTCAAATCGTCATTAATTCATTCTGATTTATGTTATGTATTTCTTAGTTTAGGGGCTTTGTGTTATTTCGAACCACTGATACATCATTAGTTTTATCAAGATAAGTATTCAAAAACAGAACTCAATATTGACAGGCTGATAATTTCACAAAGTTGATATAAGATTATGTATATTATCCATGTAAACAAAATTTATCATCATCATCATCAAACAGAAAATTTGATATTCTGTTTTTGTAAGAGAATACTGAGAGAAAAATAATGTAACAATATGAAGAAATGTGGAAACTTTGGATGTGATAATTATAGTTTTGTTACCTTCATTTTATTTGTTATCACGTTCAAAAATAAGAGAAGACAACTTCATATGTGTCTCGTTGATCTTATTATTATATTCAGCTTTCTATCAATATTTTCTTTTGTCTATTTCTCTGTTTTCATCTCTCTCTATTGTTTCCTTAGGCTCTCTCACGGTTTTGATAACTGCTTTTAAAATTTCTTAGGAGATTAGATTATTATTCTTCTTCTTTTTTTCTCTCTCATTCGTTTAACGAACATCTTTTATGTTATTTTGATCGATCTTGAAGTCGATTTACACTACAAGAAAACAAAAAATAGGTAGTTTGCAACGGACGAATACATTGTTAAATCATTAGTCGTAAAGATGTAAACAATGAGTTGTAAAGTCGTCATAACTTTTACGACGGATTTACAAGGATGCTTTAAATTGACGCCAAATTACATCAAAAAAACAATGCAATTTTTTTTTTAACACTGGATTGAATAATCTAATATACAAATATGAGAACTGTTATAATACAATTCTACAACGGACGATTCTATCATCTTCAAAGGCTCCCCGGCCGACGGCTCCACGTGCACCATTCTGTAGACCTCCTGTAATTTTGTCTCCAATAATCTACATAAATTATTAGCAAATTGCATCCACCGGGATTCGAAACTCAGACCTCCTGGTGTAGAAGCATTAAATCCCTTCAACCACTAGGCTAAGGGGCTTCCACAACAATGGCAAATTCAAGTCGGTAATATTTTGCCCTAAACTGTTAGACATTCTTTTAGTCGTATGAGATGTGTATATAGGAGCTATAAAAGAAGTTGTAATGATAAAATACAACAACATATTTATGAAAAATAAAAAATTATAAGAAATCCTCTAAGATAACATGTAGTAAACATTATATTATAAGAAACACTTGTTCATCTTCTTAGTAATGTTAAAAATTTATGTTTACTTGGATTAAACATCGAAAAGGTTATCATTTGTTTGGCATTGTTTGGCATTGACCCCTATCCTTTACGCTTATGAGGTTTAGGAATGCTGTCTTTTGGAATGCTGTGAATTCTGTTTTGATATCACGTTGGAGTAAGAGTACTACTCCTCTCCACAGAGTCGTTCCCAGAGATTTAAAGCCCGTAAACAGAAAAAAAAATGGCCCTAAAAAAACTAATCCATTCAAATAATAAGATTGTTCCAAAGATTTAACTATCATTATCCCAAATAAACAAATAAAAACCATAAAAAAAAAAAAATACAACATTAGTTTTAAAACGTAACTTTTCTGTCCTTCTTTCCAACAAAATGAGTAACCAAGCTTTCAAAGTCCACATTTTTAAGCAGCTCCCTTTCAATAGACAAGATAGCCAAGTTACTCAATCTCTCTTGTGTCATAGTTGAACGAAGATAAGACTTTATCAACTTCAGTTTTGAAAAACTTCTTTCAGCAGCTGCAACTGAAACTGGAATTGTCAACAATATCCGATAAGTGATCCATGAGTTTGGATATAGATCTTCAATCTTCTTCAGATAGTCTAAGACTTCAATAGGCCTCTTAGTTTCTTTTGACAAGGCTTCTCTTAGTATTCTTAGTTCATGAAACAGATCGTTACCAACAACATCTGATTGGTTCCCATGAGTTAGATAATCTTCAAGTTTGGGTACAAGATGCCATCAAACTATCATCACTCGCTGACTGCAATTTCTTCAAATCAAACAAAAAGCCAAATATTTGTTCATACCTCTCAAATTGTTCAAATCTTGACTTAAGCGAACAGAGAGCTTGATCCATAATCTGAATGAAGTACTCAACTCTAAAGCTTTCTTCTGGTGACAATACCACATTTCCTTGCAGATTCTCAGGTTCATCACCATAATGTCGTTTTCTTCTAATGATTCGCTTTGCTTTTTTGGGAAATACAGCCTCAATCTCCAAAGATCTGCAATTACTTTAGCTTCCAACTTTGCTTTCTCAAAACCTGAATCTCTGTACTTCTCAAAAAAAGAAACCAAGCTTTTCAATTGAGTGATAGCAACATCAATATCCATGTCCTCTGATTGTAAGCTCTTACTCACAATGTTCACAGCAGAAAGAAGATTATACCAAATGACCATCGAGACTAAGAACTCAAAACTTTCAATCCCATGTGTTTCACTTGTTGCAAGACACTCGGCATCACTCTGCTCTTGTGGATCATTACTATTCTCAGCCATGTAAACTAAATCATCCATAATTTTAGAAGCTTGAAATCGGATTGCCTTAACACTTTCCACATGACTTTCCCAACGAGTTTGAGACAAAGGCTTGAGCGTTAGGCCTCCCACCCTATCTTCCAATATTTTCCACCGCTTAACTGAAGCTGCAAAGAAGCAATAAGTGCGCTGAATAATTCCAAAAAACGAGATGGCCTTTGAAGAAGTGGTTGCCATATCACAAAGAGCAAGATTAAGAATGTGACAGCCACAAGGTGTATAAAATGCCCTTGGATTAATCTCAAGTAATCTTTTCTGTACTCCTTTGTGTTTTCCCTTCATGTTAGAACCATTGTCGTAGCCTTGCCCCCTCACATCCTCAATTTTCAAATCAAAAGCAACCAACACATCCTGAAGTTCACGAAAAAGTCCTTCTCCAGATGTATCATCAACTTTTATAAATGATAAGAAAAATTCTTCGACCTTAGTTGATGTGGCTGAAACATCTACACACCGAATGACAACAGTCATTTGTTCATGATGGCTAATGTCTGGAGTACAGTCAAGAATGACAGAAAAGAACTTTGCAGCTTGAATTTTCTTGATGATGGTAGCTTTAATCTCATTAGCTAACAAACCAATCAACTCATTTTGAATTCTGTTGCCGAGATAATGATAACGAGTTTCACCTTCTTTATACCTTCTGAGATGTTCTATCATAATAGGATCAAAATCAGCAAGCATCTCGATAAAACTTAAAAAGTTCCCATTGCCATCTTCTCCAATCTTTCCATTGCTTCCACGAAAAGCTAGATTTTGTTTAGCAAGTGTCTTTACCACAGAAATAATTCTAAGCAATACCTGCCTCCAGTGAATTCTCTCTTTATCCATTTCACCTTGAGAATATTTATCAATGGTCTGATTTGTCTGTAGTCTAAGCTCTAACTCCACCCACTGATTCATGCACACAATGTGTTCCCGACTAGATTCATGCTCTCTAATCCTTTTCAAAACATTTCTCCAATCATTAAACCCTGTAGTTGCTAACTGACCCTTGTCACGATGACTGAACAACTTACAACAAAAACAGAAAACTCTGTTTAGTGTTTTTTAGTATACTAGCCAACGCCAATCTTGCTTTGTCCCGTGTCACTCATTTCTCTTGCATAATAAACATGTGAGAAATGCCTCTTATTGACACTGTCTTTTGGAAATTTATAACCAGTGGGCAGTCTTTTTGTCGGTCCTTGGACAACCATAAAATCTCTCCTGTTTTTATGCTTTTCCAATTTCCAGGATCGTACATATCAAAAAATCCGCAATGCTTCATGGAATCATCCTCTGTTTCATCCAAATCCTCTTCATCCACTGCATTCACATCTTCTTTCTCATTTAAGCACTCATCTTCATCCATCTCATGTAGGAATAATGTTATATTGATGCAGAGAACATTACAGAGAGTTATATACTTGAGTACATCGTGAAGCCCTAGAGATTGTAATTACAGAAACTTTTATAAACAAGAGAGAAGAATATTGAGAGAGTAAATGAGGATCATATCGTATCCTTGACTGTATCCTTAACATGCCCCCTCAAGATGGAGGGAGGTGTTCTCACGCCTATCTTGTTCCTGAGTTGTAGAAAGCGAGCTCGAGGCAGAGGCTTTGTAAGTGCATCGGCTAATTGGTCTTTGGTATTGATATGAGCTACACGAAGAATGCCATTCTGTATGTGGCCTCGGATGAAGTGATAGTCAAGAGCTACATGCTTCATGCGGGAATGGAAGACCGGATTAGCACACAGAAAGGTGGTGCCAACGTTGTCGCAGTACACAACTGGTGGTGTCGGAAGTGTGATGCCAAGTTCAGTAAGAATGTTGCATATCCATCTGATTTCCGAGGCAGTATTGGCAATGGCTCTGTATTCAGCTTCAGTAGATGATCTTGCAACACTTGTTTGCTTCTTTGCTGTCCACGAGATGGGGTTATTGCCGAGATAGATGATGAATGCATTGGTGGACACATAATCGTCGACCTCGTTACCATCAAGGCCGCAAAATGGGCTTCCGCAAACGTTGCTACCAACAAACCTCGTTACCATCAAGGCCGACAGCCACAACATCACCAACGACAACCTGCAACGTGGAATCAAACCCAGCAGCATCAGAACCATAACAAGCAGCAAGACAACCGTACCTCTCAAGGATATCAGGGCAGGTGTCAAATCTGCAGCGTACAGGGACACAGTGCACGACGGTGTCCCCAGCTGACCGGACAACAGATCCCGCCAAGAAACAATCAGATGGTCACCACTAATCCTCCATGGCAACCACGAGCAAACATGGCTCTCACATCGCCGCATGGCTCATGGACACCGGCGCTACACATCACATGACCAATGATCTAGCCAATCTCTCACTACACCAGCCGTACCATGGCGATGATGCTGTGCTCATTGGTGATGGCTCTGGCTTGTCTATCACTCATACTGGTTCACTGTCCTTACCCTCTTCCTCTCACCCTCTTACCTTAGATAAAACTTTATGTGTCCCAAATATACAAAAGAACCTCATTTCTGTCTATCGCCTTTGCAATACTAACCAAGTTTCCGTTGAATTTTTTCCTGCTCATTTCCAGGTGAAGGATCTGAACTCGGGGGTCCCATTGCTCCACGGCAAGACTAGAGACGAGCTCTACGAGTGGCCTATTTCACCAAAAGCTGTCCAAACTTTCTTTACTTCTGCATCACCAAAAACAACCCTTTATGAGTGGCATTATCGATTAGGCCATCCTTCTCTCTCTATTCTCAAAAATATCATTTCAAAGTTTTCTCTTCCTTTCTCACAATCTCCTACTTCTACTCAGTTATGTACCGATTGTGCTATTAATAAAAGCCACAAATTGCCTTTTTCTCAAACCTCCATTGTCTCCACACGACCCTTACAATATATTTTCACCGATGTGTGGACCTCTCCTATCTTATCCTTTGACAACTTCAAGTACTATCTTGTGTTAGTAGACCACTACACTAGGTACACTTGGATTTACCCTCTCAAAACTAAGTCCCAAGTCAAAGAAATTTTCTTACCTTTCAAAGCCCTCGTTGAAAATCACTTTCACACCAAAATTGGCACCTTGTACTCTGACAACGGAGGCGAATTCATTGCTTTGCGATTATTGTTAGCATCCGCCGGCATCACTCACCTCACATCACCACCTCACACACTAGAGCATAACGGAGTCTCGGAACGCAAACACAGGCACATCGTGGAAACTGGTCTTTCTCTCTTGACTCATGCCGGAATGCCTAAGACCTATTGGACGTATGCTTTCGCAACAGCCGTATATCTCATCAATCGACAACCGTCGCCAACAATATCCATGGAATCTCCATTCCAAAAGTTATTTGGCACAACGCCGAATTACTCGAAGATGCGGATCTTTGGCTCACTGTGCTTCCCCTGGCTGCGTCCTTACACGACCCATAAACTCCAAGATCGATCAGCCGCCTGCGTCTTTCTCGGATACTCTCCAACACAGAGCGCTTACTTGTGTCTCCAACCTAATTCCGGCCGACTCTATGTCTCCCGCCATGTCCAATTCGACGAGCAAGTCTTCCCGTTTCAAACTCTCACTCAATCTCCACCAACAACAGAAGAATCTCCGGCAAACTCATCTCCGCCGGCGATTCGCCTTCCGCTGACAGCTCCACCACCGCCACTCGTATCGCCGTCTCCGTCTCTGCCGCCGCCGTCTCCGGGACCCTCGCCTCCGATTCCTCACCAGACAATGACGCAGGGAACGAACTCGACGTCTGTGACTCGCGATGCCGACATTTCCGATGAAGATACTTCTTCGTCGATCTCTAGTCACCCACAAAACAATCAGGCCCAACCAAGCCCAAATTATTCTCCACAGGCCCATACTAATCCCTCACCAAGCCCAAACTTATCACCATCCACAACTGAAACCCAATCCTCAACCCAATCCCCTACGATCCCAACTCCGCCCCAAAATCCTTCTCCGTCTCCTCCTCCCTCGCCGGAACCGGCACCTCCACCAAATGCAAACCCGACGCAAAAATAACATCGTTAAACCAAACCCCAAATACAACCTGTCTGCCCGTTTATCCGATGTTCCCCTAGAACCCAGGACAGTGAATCAGGCTTTGAAAGATAAACGGTGGAGAGGTGCTCTGTCGACTGAAATTGATGCGTTTGCTCGCAATCACACTTTTGATCTAGTTCCCCGACCACTCAACCACAACGTAGTTGGTTGTAAGTGGATATTTACAAACAAGTTTTTTGCTACTGGTGTTTTCAACAGGTGCAAAGCAAGACTTGTTGCCAAGGGATTCAATCAGCAACAAGGACGAGATTACACAGAAACATTCAGCCCGGTGATTAAAGCAACCACAATTCGAATCATTCTTGATATTGCTGTCTCCATGTCATGGCCAATTCAACAACTAGATGTGAATAATGCCTTTCTACAAGGTACATTAGAAGAAGAAGTCTACATGGAACAACCTCCTGGATTTGTCGACAAAGATCATCCGTCCTATGTCTGTAAGTTGAACAAGGCTGTCTATGGACTTAAACAAGCCCCACGTGCCTGGTATCTTGAGTTAAAGGCCTTCCTTCTCAGTCTTGGCTTTAAGAACTCTCTTGCTGATACATCGTTATTTACCTTGCAAGTTGGGAAAGATTTTATCTACCTGTTAGTATATGTTGATGATATACTAATTACAGGAAGCACCAAGGCAGGAATTCAACGAATTCTCAATCTCTTAGCAGAGCGCTTCTCTGTCAAAGACCCTGAAGACCTCAACTACTTTCTGGGTTTAGAAGCTCACAGAACTGACGAAGGACTTCATCTCTCACAGCGAAAATACATTGTTGATCTCCTGCACAAGTACAACATGGTGAATGCAAAGCCAATCGGAGCTCCAATGGCCTCATCTCCCAAGCTCACACTACACTCTGGTGTCCCACTCTCTGATCCTCTTGAATACCGGAAATTGGTGGGAAGCTTACAGTATCTTGCATTCACACGACTTGACATTTCTTATGCTGTAAATCGGCTCTCCCAGTTCATGCACAAGCCTACACAAGATCACTGGCAAGCAGCTAAAAGGATTCTTCGATATCTTGCTGGCACTCCAACACACGGTATCTTCTTCTCAGCTAAGAATGAATTAAAACTTCATGCGTTTTCTGATTCTGATTGGGGCGGTGACTCCGAGGCCACGGATGTATTCATCAATGGATTTGGTACCCTTTGTCCATTGTTTTAGTTGGTGTTTGATTTGCTTGAGATGTCCTCTGCTAGGTTTGGCGTAGGTGGCCGCAAGGGTACTCCAGATGTCTGCTGCAGTTTGAGATCTGGAAACCATTGGTTGAATGGAGAGCGAGATAGCACCAAGAAGACCGCTGTAGATCAGCTTGTCTTGACGTTTCCACAGAGTGTATGCTGGATTTACAGTCTGTGTTTCGTTGGTGGTAATGGTCGAGGCTGGTGGTGTGACGGATCCATCAAGATAACCCGCCAGTTCGTAGCCGTCGAGAAGAGCATGTACCTGAAGGCTCCACATCAGGTAGTTGCTGGAGGTAAGCTTTGTGACATTCGAGATGTTCACATTGATGATAGAGTTATTGTTGATGGCTACTGTTTCTGCAGATACAGTTGCAGCCATGATCAAGGAGGGTTGATGAAGAAGGAAAACAGAGAGAAGAGGAAAAAAAAAAGTTTTAAGGTATCGTAGACTGCTCTGATACCATGTAGGAATAATGTTATATTGATGCAGAGAACATTACAGAGAGTTATATACTTGAGTACATCGTGAAGCCCTAGAGATTGTAATTACAGAAACTTCTATAAACAAGAGAGAAGAATATTAAGAGAGTATATGAGGATCATATCATATCCTTGACTGTATCCTTAACATCTCATTCACATCCTCAGGCTCAAGAGTTTCATTTTCTCTGTGATGCTGCTCATTCATATTCTTAGCCACTCCATCATTTCCAGAAATATATGGTTGTACAGATTTATCAAGAGTTGCAGGTTTCTGGAAATATTTGAATATAGAATTCTCTTGAGGCTTCTTTCTTCTCTTTGTTTATTCAATTGTCTTTTCCAGCTGTTCGAAGACATTTCTGAAATTTTACCCAAAAAAACAAGTTACAGTTTTGATTAAACCACAGTTTTGTAAACAACTAACAAACAATTCATGTACATTAAGTCACAATTTGATTAATACATAACATATTGCTAGTGTTGAACAAACATCAAACGTGTTTATGTTAGCGGCAGGGTCGGCTCTTTGCAAAGACACGTAACACGTTTTTGACTTTTTGATCAATCATAACAATTAGCAATAAAATATTACTCCCTTCATTTCATAATAAGTGTTTTTTTGACAAAATGAATCTGGATTATTTAATGATGCATCTGGATGTGTTTTGAGTCTTAATACATCCATTAATATTTAGATACATTGGGTAAGTGAAGAGTCAAAACGACACTTATTATGAAACGGAGGGAGTACTAGAATTCCCAAATCAAACAATAACTAATATAAGAAGACTTAAAAATTAGCAAGTACCTTTTGTTTATTGTTTGATTTTGTTCTGTTTCTGGAGAAGAAGAAGAAGTTGAGAAGTCGTAACCAAAATTTCGACAAAGAAGAAAAGATCAAAACCCTAATATTTTTGGTAATTTAAATTAATTAGTAATTAGTTGTTAATTGCTATATTAATATAAATTATTTCACTAATACTACTAATACATATAAACTACTTATGTATATGGGTCCTTCTATTTTTTAAGAAATTTTGGGCCCGTAGGCCAATGTTTCAAAATTTTATATGGGCACGGTTATGCCTCTCCATTGCATGGCACATTCCTTAAAACCAATATAAATTTATAATTTTATTATATTTTTATTGTCTTATAGCTATTGACATATATATTAAATTCTTGGTTATACTAATAGTGAATTAAGATTATTGTAGAATGTATATATTATAGTTTAGAGTAGCTTGGTGAAGATAACAATAGAAAATCTCCACATCAAGATTTAGAGATTACTAGAGAACAAAAAACATGTATCATGAAGTATTTTACATATCCGAATGAAAGGAGAGGTGTCAATATTGAATATTCTAATTTCTCTTCATGCTTGGCTGATTTTGGTAGTGTTGATGCTATGCATGATAGGTCCATCCTAGAGCCTCTCAAATGGTGGGCAGTTCATTGAGCTTCAGCACCGCAGCTTCAAGCCTTAGCTTTTAAGTTGCTTGGATAACCTTTCTCATCCTCATATTGTGAAAGGAATTGGAGTACTTACAAGTTCATACATTCTGCAACAAGGAACAAGATTGCTCCACAAAGAGCAGAAGATTTGGTATTTGTGCATACCAATCTTCGTCTTTTATCTAGGAGAAGTCAGACTTACAAAGAAGGCCCAAATCATATGTGGGATGTTGGAGGTGATAAATTTGGTTCACTAGATGACATTAATCCTGGGATACTCCAGTTTAAAGATCTTTTTCTTGACGAACCAGAGCTAGAGGCGGTTATCTTTAACGAAGGGAATGGAAATGAGAATGAAGAAGATGTTTAGATAATTGATTTTGGCTTTTTAAAATATTGTATTGGACATGTTAAACTTATTGATGTTTTTGATATTTTATTATATACTAGGGCGCGCGGGTTGTGTTAGTCTTATTATTTTTCGCAAATTTAATTTTGTTTCAAAGATATTATACATTTATTATTACTCAAATATAATTAGAGTTAGGCAAATTTTTTGTACCATCATGTTCCATCTCGTCCCATTTCGTTCATTTTTATCATGTACGTTCTTTCCCATCTCGTTCGTCCTGTATGTCCTGTCCTGTTCAGTCCTATCCTATCCCATTATGATTATTTCCATTTTGTTTATTATTGTCTTGTTCCCTAAATATAATTAGGGGTAGATTTTATCCCATTCCGTTCATTTTCATCTTGTCATGTTCTTTCTCATCCCGTTTGTTTTGTCCGCCCAACCAATCCCATCTTATTATGTTCATTTTTATTTTGTGTTATCTTTGTCTCGTCTCTAAATATAATTAGGGGTAGACATAATTCCCGTCCCATTATATCCTTTTTCATCTCACCCCGTCCAATCCAGTCCCTTTTCATCTCACCACGTCCAATCCAGTCCCATCCAATCCCGTCACATTTCATTTCTTTTCATTTTGTCACATCCAACATTTCTGTCTTGTCCTCTCTCTCATCATGTTTTTTTTTTCGTTTTTTTCCGGTCCACCCCTAAATGTAATTAGAAGTATGCGAAATATATGTCTTGTCCTATTCCGTTCTTTTCCGTTCCTTTAGATCTCATCTCTTCACTTAATATCATAAGAAGTAAACAAAATTCCCCTCTTCTCCGATTCTATGTTTTTGGTTTCGTTATTTTTGTTATTATTATTATTATTAAATAATAGTTTTTTTTAAGATTTATACATAATATTTATTTTCTTTTATAAAAATGACTTTTCAAATTCTTGTATTATTTAATGATTATATTAATGAATGATCATAAATAATTAAAAAATAAGAAGAGAAAATATAATAATTAAAATCAATAAATACAATGCTGATGTGGCGAATTGGTAAATTTAGAGGCAATCTCTTCTGCTGACATGGCAGCACCAAAAAAGAATTGCATGAACTTTATATATATATATATATATATTTTTTTTTTTTTTTTTTTTTTGAATTTTCATATATATATATATATATGCATACTTTTCCATTTTTATATATATTTTTCAAAAAATGACGTTTCCCGTTTCCGAAACGTTTCACAGTATTCCAAAAGACAGATTCTTCATGAGGTTGATTTTTTTCTTTTCTAAAAATAGCCTTCTTCACATTTTTAATCATGCTTTCCCACCATTCATAGGCTAAAATGAAGAGAAGGCCTACCAATATCAGCAGCTCTAATCACACCATATATAGGTAAAGTGAAAGACAAAGCATATTCAAGATCATTCCAAAACATCTCATCTCATATTTTTCGTTTCACTGCATATACTCTTTTTACATTGTTTTTTCTTTGTAATCATCCGATTTAGGACTGACCACCATCTCTTGCAACCCAATTTTTATTTTCATAAATCTTTTGAACATCACAACCGATGAAGCAAATCTGTAAAAAAATTCATAATTCTAGTATACTTTAAATATAAGAAAATAAGTAAGATTTAACAAAAAAGAAAAAGAAAAAGCAAACAAACTTGGTAGAAGCAATTATAAGAAGCTTAAGATCACAATGTTCACTAAACATCACAAGTCTCATTCCATGGTTCATAATAAAATTCTTGACAAAAACACATCATAGCTAAGAGTTTTGATCCAGCCACAAACGTTGTATACATCTTCATTGTTTCTTGTTGTTAATGATGGTGCACATATTTTCTTCGAATCAAGGTTTAGAGTATGAACAACATATGGTGTCCAGAAGATGGTAGGATACTTAGCAGAAATAAGTGCACCAGCCTTTACACAATTTGAAGCATTGTCGGTGACTATTTGAACCACACTTTCATACCCAACTTCCTTTATACATTCTATGATCAGCTCTGCAATCCTTTCTCCAGTTTTCATTTCACCTTCGGCATTGATCGCTTTTAACATCATAGGACCACTCTCATTTGCAGATATCAAGTTAAGTATTGGTATTATCAACCGTCACTACAGATACTGACTCCTTTTTGTTTCCATGTGTTTTTCAAAGGCTGCAAGTGCATCTCAAGGTTCTTCCTTTCCTTTTTAAGAAGTCTTGTCCTCAGTGCATTATACCCAGGGGGAATATATCCTTGAATGTTTGATGCTCGCACCTATGAGTTGTGGTAGTGGGGATTTCTGGCAACGTTAAAAGATAAACCACTTGTGTAGAACATTCTAGCTATCTCACCATCACATTGCTCTCTGGCCTCATTATTAAACGCTTTCCCCAAAGGTGTATCCATTCCTTTTCTCTTATTTGGATCAGATTCACTTGCATTAGGTACTCTATAACTCATGTCATAATCAAGAGAAGAACTTGATGCTTTTCTTGTCGACGACGGCAGTGGCACTGTTCTAGGAGCTGCACTTTGTATCTTCTTCTTACACTCATCAACAAAGTTTCTCATGTTCTTTCTTTGTTGAACAGTAACCTTTGAACACTCTTTAATTCCCTTGGCCCCATCTCTTAACAAATTACTTGTGACTCTGCTATAAGAACCAAAATATGTGGTTTTGCAGAATTTGCATTCAAACCTCCATGATCCTCCACTTCCTAGCTTCTCAATTTTTGTTTTCAAATAAATCCACAAAGGTGCCTTAACATCCACATTGGATACATCTTCTGTATCGTCTCCGTCTCCGACATGATGATCTTGAAATATGAAAGTAAACCACCCATCGAAGCAATAATCAATGTATATATCAATGTACTAACACAACAAGGATGTGGCAATTGGCAAGATAGCTTCGGTGAAACAAGTTCATATTCACTAAGCCACTAACCAATATATAAATATTTTCACACTTGTTCTCATGGGCTACGTTACACGGAAACTATAATCTATGCATGACATCCTTACGTTCTTTATAGCTATATAATATTCAGTTATTCACCGAATCACTATATCTTTGTACTACAGGAAAAACGGGTTTCAATAGCAGAGAAAGATAGCGGTTTTTACATATATGCTTTTATATAGCGTTTGTCAATATTTTGGTTTGAACAAACGCTATCTAAGGTTGAGCGGCAAAAAATGTAAAAGTGGTGCTTCTCTTTTTACTTTTATTATAGCAATACGAATGTAAAAACGCTATAATAAGATACCCGAGAATCAGATTTTTTTTTGCCCGCCGAATTAACAAAAAAAATTCGGTCGAATTTTACATCGACGAAATCGAAATAGCTAGGGAATTAAAGAAAAAATCAAGTTTCGTTCTTCGTTCTCTCATCTCTTATCCTCCATACACCTCGATCTCCTCCATCAATTTGTAACTCTGTTTTCATCCAAATCTCAGTAGATTCAAATCTCAATTTTATTCCCGCTGTCTCTTTTTATCTCTATCGCTCTATTTTTGTCAGCTGCGAATCGCGTCCAGTGAAGCTTCACTCGAAGGTAAATCAAATTGTGAAACGATTTCTGGATTTACCCAGCTCTTGCATGTATCAAAATTAACAATGCCACTGAGATGTGTTGGAATGATTGTCTTGTACTTTGTCTATATTTGTGCAGATTATTCGATCGTAGCTCTTGTTGAAGCCTTTTCAATACTGCATTGTGTAAGCTGTTTTTTTCTTATACTTGTTTAATATTCAACTGTGGTCGAAGTGTGTGAATGTGTTAGTCATTTGTTTGTCTGATCGTACAAATTATCATCTAAAATGTATGTATAATTGGAGCTCGAGCTGTGGTCGTTTGGTTACAATATGGACAAGGCATGGGTTTGGCTTCCAAGGTATTCATTTTTGTTTCAACTGATGATTGATTGCAAATATGATTACATTTTTTGTATATTTGATTTCCGTTTTTATAACTTACAGGGCTAGCCTTAAGTATGTCCAAGGAGCAACCGATTTTGTTACTCTATCATCAAGAAGATTGGGTAATCCAGCCGAGATGTTTTGTCCTTGCGATCAATGTCGCAATGTTTGCTATCAGCCGTGAGACACTATAGTGGAGCATCTAGTGATTAATGGTAGGGATCAGAAATATAAGAGGAGCTCTTGTTGGACCAAGCATGGAGATATAAGGAATGATAGCTCGAAAATGTTCCCATATCAGAAAGAGAGGCTTATGAGCTGCTTAGGACTGCTTTTTTCAGTGGTGAAGGGAATCCACAGTCAGCGAATGATAGTGGAGGTGAATACAAAGACAGTGACACCATAGAGGAAACTGCGTTTAGGAAGAAACTGAAGGATGCATAGATGCCTTTGTATCCAGAGTGCGGGAACTACACCAAAATTTCAGCAATAATGGCCCTATATCGCATAAAAGTGAAGAGTGGAATGTCTAAGAACTTCTTTGACCAGCTGATGACAATAGTTCATGACATGCTTCGTGAAGGTAATGTGCTTCCTAAGTCGACGGAGGAGATAAAGAAGTTCATGAAGGTATTTGGGTTTGGGTATGATATCATTCATACATGTAAGAATGATGCATTCTGTATCGGAAGCAGTACGAGAGCATGGAAAGTTGCCCACGATGTTGTACTTCTCGGTGGGAGATGGACAAACACAATGGTGAGGAGCTCAGTGGGAGATGGACAAACACAATGGTGAGGAGAAGAAAGGGATTCCAGCGAAGGTCCTCAGGTATTTTTCCATTAAGGACAGATTCAGAAGGATGTTTAGGTTGAAAAAGATGTCTGAGGATCTGCGTTGGCACTCCAGCAATGCTAGTGAAGATGGTACAATGAGACATCCGGTTGACTCTTTAACTTGGGCCCAGGTGAATGATTCATGGCCAGAGTTTGCTGGTGAACCTAGAAACTTGAGACTCGGCCTTTTTACAGATGAGATGAACCCTTTCTCCATTCAGAATATGAAACACAGTACATGGCCAGTGTTGCTAGTTAACTACAACATGTCTCCGACTAAGTGTATGAAGGCGGAGAACATTATGTTAACTATGTTGATCCCAGGACTTACTGCACCGAGTAACAATATTGACGTCTATCTAGCACCACTGATAGATGATTTAAAGGATTTGTGGGCTGAAGGTATTGAGGTCTACGGCTCTTTTCTTAAAGAGAACTTCACACTTAAAGCTTTGCTATTGTGGAGTATCAGTGACTATCCTGGATTAGGGACGTTGTCTGGATGTAAAGTGAAGGGCAAAAAAGCATGTAATGTTTGTGGGAAGGATACTCCTTCTAGATGGTTAAAGTTTAGCCGGAAGTACGTGTATATGGGCAACAGAAAGCGACTCAGACTAGGTCATCCTTACAGGCGCAGGAAAGCATGGTTTGACAACACAATTGAAAAAGGTACTCCAAATAGAATACAAACCAGAGCAAAAATATTTGACATTCTTAGTGAGTTTAGGAATGATTTTGGAAGACCTTTAGATAAGGAAACAAAAAGAAAGAGGTCGGAATTGTGTGAAGAAGAACTTTCTTCAGAGGAAGATGAGGAAGACAGTGACCAATGGCGATGGAAGAAGCGCTCCATATTCTTTGAGTTATTTTATTGCAAGGTAATTAATTTATTATTTTCACCTTAATTAGTATCTATTACAATCACTGAGGCTAATACTTTTAACTATGGCTTTTGTTAGGAATTACCAGTCCGACACAATATTTATATGATGCACATGGAGAAGAACATCTCTGAAGTTATATTGTCTACTTTGATGCATAGTACTAAGTCCAAGAATGGTTTGAAAGCAAGAAAAGATTTGGAAGATATTGGAATCCGAAGGCATTTGCATACTGAGCTACGGGGAAAGAGAACATACTTACCTTCTGCTGCTTTCTAGCTGTCCAAAGAAGAGAAAACAAGATTTTGCAAGAGGTTGTCTAAGTTCAGAGGTCCAGATGGCTATTGTGCGAACATAGACAATTGTGTTTCAGTCAGTCCACCATGTAGTGGAGGTATGAAATCACATGATCATCATGTTCTTATGCAAAATATGTACACTTGTTTGAAATAGGTTGCATTTAGAAGAATTACAAGCTACGGATGCAAGATGTGCCAGAAATGAGATTTTACTATGGAAAACTCATACATAACGATTTTCGCAATGGATCAAGCAAAAGGTGCCATGATTTCTTTGTTAATTTTACATATTCACTGTTTTTTGTTACCGAGATTCCTGTCATTAATATGCGACATATTTCAATACTACAGATTCCAAGTAATTCAGAAGCTCACTCCACTAAGCTAAGGTGGTTGGCTTATGGACCCAGACATACTACTCAGAGTCACACGGGGTTTGTGATCAACGGCCATAGGTTTCAGATAGACGCAGTCAAGCGTAAGACTCAGAACAGCGGAGTGACCTATGAAGCTTTCTCTATATGTAGATCTACTGCACGAGATACTAGACTCGAGGCTGATATAGTTGGCTATTACGGAGTGATAAAGGAGATTCTACTGCTTGACTATCACATGTTTTCCGTTCCAGTCTTCAAATTCACTTGGGCAAACGCAGGGAATGGTGTAAAAGAAGAAGATGGATTCCCGCTAAAAACCTCCATATGAGTCAGTCGTCATATATGCGAGATCCATACATCCTGGCATCACAGACGAAACAGATATTTTATTCTAGAGAAGATGATTCTTCTCCATGGTATGGGGTCATGAGAGCGCCACCACGAGGATATCACGAGTTAGAGTCAGAGGAGGAGGTCGATAGTGTATCAATACCTTTAAATCAAGTTGAAGAGTCATATCATGAATCTTCTGATGATGAGAGTTTCTGTGTTAGAGATGATTATGAAGGTGTCCTAGTAGAATAAAATTAAGATTAGGTGATTTTAGTGTCATTTGATATGTGGTTTTACAGGTTAAGTCATGGTAAAATTGAGAGGAGGATTGGTTGGCCGCAATACGCGTCCAAGAGTCATTCAGGTGAATCCTGTGTTGGGTAAACCAATGAAGAAACAGAAGAAGAAGCAAGGATTTAGAAAACTACATTATGTGGGAAACGTTGCAATGGAGTTGCAAGAAGAAGAAGTTACAAAAGAATTGGTTGGTCATACATTTGTTGATGAAGAAAGACCGGACGATATTCTTAATTGTGAAGAACCAGAGCAGGAATAGGTTCAGCAGCATCAAGAACGTACACAAGAAGATGGATTTCAGCAGTCTCAAGCAGAGATAGAGGAAGAAGATGTTCAGCAGTCTCAAGCAGAAAGAGAAGAGGAAGAGGTTCAGCAGCCTTAAGCAGAGAGAGAGGAGGAAGAGGTTCGGCAGCCTCAAGCAGAGAGAGAGAGGAAGAAGAGGTTCAGCATCCTGTAGGAGATACACAGCAAGAAGAAGAGGTTTCAGTATCCTGAAGGAGGAGCAGAACATACAGTCGAGGTGGAAAAATAAAATAAAAGAGGGCTTACCAGGATGCGCAGAGTGACAAAAGATCAAAATGACAAGGTATCTGTAGAATTCACGGATATTGGTGAACATGCTGGTCTTGGGTCCGTTACACTGTCGTCATTTCTAGGTCCACTTGTGAGGGAACATGTTCCAGTACTTCTTGACGATCGGAGGAAGCTTGACAATTTGACGAAGGCCATACTATGGGAGGAAATTCAGGGGAGGTTTGATTTGCGAGAGGAGTGGCAAAAGGATGTTGTTTTCAAGCAAATGGGATGCCTGTGGAGGTCTTCTAAGTCTAGACTTGTATGAAAACTTAGAGCTGCAAAGACTACCACATAAAGGCTTCATTTGAGACCAAGCAACATACAGTCCATCGCAAATTGGAACAGTTGGGTGAAGAGTAGGACTAAGACAGCTTTTAAGGTTATAAACTCAACTTTCCATAATATATTATCATAAACAAAACTTTGAAATTCTGCAGACTCATCTTCCTGACTCACCTTGTAGGTTAAAAGTGAGAGATTTATCTGAAGAGGTCTCAAATCCCACACACCACCAGCCGTAAAGGAATGTTTCGTCTAGCTTATGAAATGGTATGGACTGTCTCCTCGTAGTGATTTCGTTCTGGTTACATGAAACATGCATTAATAAGTCGGTGATTTTAATTGTAGAAAAAAAAGAGCGATGATCCTAGATTGTTCACTAGGAGTAAAGTGTAGATAGCGGGAGACACACATTCAAATGGAACGCCTATGCGGCCTGAGTTTGCAGATAAAATTGTAAGATTTCTCAATCATTATTTATTGACAATCTCCACTTTTCATTACTCATCTTATGAGAGAAATGTTATAATATATTTGATAGGAACAAATACAATCACTGGATAGTCAGATGGACTCTACAGCCAATGATAACATAAGAAAAGATGCGGTCAGTCAAGTGTTGGGGAAAGACAAACCAGGACGAATCAGAGGGATAGGCAGAGGTATCACTGCAACAAAGCTAGCATTCATACAGTTAAGGGACTCTCATGTGCAGAAGCTAAAGGCAACGCAAGCAGAATTACTTTGTAAATTCACAGAGCTGCAAAATAAAGTTCGTGATTTGGCTGGTAAACAGATAAGCTTATCATTTATCTATACGAGTGTTTGTTTATGGAATGGTGAATGCTAATAGAGTGTTCTTTATGAACCTTATCTCTTCTTGTCAGAGTCAATGTAATGATGTGGGTTCTCAGTCTGATGTGAGTGATATTAGCAAAGGAGGTCCTAGGTGTCAGATTCTGAATTGGTTTGCGGATGAGGATGTTATTGTCAGTGAAGGAGAGTTCTACTCTGCTGAACCAAATTACAAGATTGGTCATATTCCACTTGGCCCAAATGCAGCTTCTGTAATAGTGACGTCTGCCTTAGACCCGGAAACATCTGTCTGGAGGCCTACATCATCTGTGTTCAACGTCGACCAAGCTGTTGGAGTCAAAATTGCGTGGCCTATGTCTAAAATTATTTTGGATACAGAATTAGTCAGCTCGAATGGGGACAAGTTTCCTGGATCTACCGTAAGTGTTATTCTTTAGCTATAAGTACTATTAGCATTTTCAGATTTTAGAGTAAACTAACTATACAAGTTCTTTTCATTAGGCGACAAGCACAGATGAATCACTGCAATTATGTAGCATTTTTGATTGGAACGCGGGTGAAGTCGTGGCGGAGGGTTTACTTCAGTCAACGGACCCGAAAGAGATGGTCAATAATATACCTCTAGGCCCGAACGCTGCTGTACTGAAGATTACCAAGGTGATAAAAAATGACGCTTATCTGTGGAGACCTAGTGCTGAAATGTTTTTGATGGGTGCGGCAGTTGATACGACTATTGCGTGGCCAATTCATAAGATAGAGTTTGTTGTGAAAGCTACACAGGCGGAATCAGCGAGAAAATCAACAACGGTACTTTCTTTTTTGTCAATGAACATATATCTTATTTTATCATTGCTGTGATTGAATTCTGATTATATGTTCGACTTATGATGTTATTCGACTTATGATGTTATAGAGTGCAAGTAATAGCACTGGGACCAGAAAAAATCAAGCTAAGAGGTGCATCCTCTTAGACTGCAAAAACTCAGGTGAAAGAGTGGCATTAGGCCGTGTCAGTTCATCCGATCCAGAAGATGTTGTGCATTTCATTCCATTAGGTCCTAATGCTAGCAAGGTGTGGGTGGATGTTTCGAAGATTGGTATTTCTGAGGTGTGGATACCAAATTCAGAGATAAAATTCATAAGGGATGCCGTAGGCACTACAATCGCTTGGCCTAATGATAAGATAATTTTCATGTAATCTTGTTAAAGTACTCATCTTTGTACGTTTGTTTTAAAAAATAATCCTAACAAGCAATAAGGTTTCACATAACTAATATACTTGTAAAAGGTAATAAGCTAAGTGTCACGATAACTTTTAATGAAAATATATGGTTACTATAGATTTAGGGCATGTTTAGGGTTTACATAAATAAATCACTATTTATAAAATAGTTCTTAAGCGTTTTGTTATATATAAAATGGAAACTAAAGTAATTTTATAATACAATACAAATTAGATCATGGTTTAGGGTATTGTTTAGGGTTTACGGTATTGAATAGGGTACAAGAGGATTTAAGAAACAAACATGCATGGAACATGCATGCATCAAATGAAAACCAAAAGATACCTAATGTTTCAGAATTATATAAATCCGAAATCTTCAAATATGCAACATGTTAGGACAACTAACATAGTGTTTCATTGTCACTTTACTCTAAACCTTCTTTTGATGAGGTGATTTTCTGTTTTTTTTTCCTTATTTTTAAAAAATATACGAAATTAAGACAATATTAAGCTTATAATTATGAAATTAATCACATAATTTTTCGTGAAATATAATTGCTAGAATAATTGTTATAAGCTTCTAAATTAGGCTTTATTAATTAATGAACACTCTTAAGCTGAGAGCCAATTACAGCAAATCACTCGGATTAACGAGATATAGACGTACACCGTTGGATATTTTTACTTCACTCTCTTAACTTTCAATCTGAACCTTCCGTTTCTGAGTTTCTTTTAACGAATAAAGAGAGAGATTGTCTTTCACTTTCAGATCCGACACTTGACGGTTCCTGTAATATCCCTCATAGTGAGATGAACGCGTCCAAAATACGCAAGTCACTCAACCCGCTCAAACCGTGAAGGAGGTTACCTATTAGCCGCGGCCGGTACATTTTTAGACAACACAAAAGACTACCGAACGTCCACACCCGGACATAGACGGACCTGGCCGGAGAGAAAACCTCGGCCAGAAAAATCTATGGCCGAGCCATAGCCAACTCCATCGAGCGGATAAAAATTTGGTCGAGTTGATCACTTTTTGACAAGTGTCGCGAGAAGACAAAAAGTGCCTTTTTTCGACAACACTTGTCACAAAGAGGAGGAAGCTGTCCAACAATCTATGGAGAATGGAAGGTTCTATTTTACAAGTGTCAAGGAACCAACAAGTGTCACAAAACTCATTCCTTCCTCTCTAAGTAATAAAGTCCACGACAAGTGTCACAAGAGACTCTACATGTTCGAAAGGTGCTACACGATAATGGAAGACTCAACCACACACTTGTCTCCTCCGCCACTATAAATACCCCTCCCTCACCACATTGTAAACTATTTTCTCCTTATTTTCTCTCTTCCTAAGTTTAGTAAAAAGGTTTGAATTGGAGGAATAGTACGGTGAGCGGTTCGTAGAATGAACGAGAGCTTAGGAGTGAAGGTCTAGAGTTTGGAGTGTCAAGCGTCTACACCATCATTAAATCAGTGAGTCTCGGTAGTATAGTTTAGTTAGTTTAGTTGTTTTTATGAGAATCGATCTCGGTATGAAACATGCGATCCAAAGGTGTTTCTCCCGATCATTAGATCTCATGAAAACTTAGATGTTTTTATAATTTCTAGGTTTGCATGTATAATCGAACTCATGGAACATGCGATCCAAAGGTGTTCTCATGATTAGACTACATGACGACTAGAAATTTAGGTGTTACTTGTGGGTATGAGTCCCAAAGTAACTTTTATTTATTTCTTTGGTTTTCTTTTGTTTTGGTAGGATTATAATTCAGGAAGTTATAATCTGAGTGCATATGAGACATAGTATTAATTATGGGTTCATATGGGTGAACATAGCAAGGGCTATAGGTTTCATGGACATAACGGAGGTTATGATCCATTGATTGAAGAAATATAGCAAGGGCTATAGATCTTTTGCATTTAGAGTCTTGGTGACTCTTAGGATAGATAGATCATTTGATTTTTGGCGTAAATCATGATCTTAGGGCATGTCTTGGTACTCCTCATACCCTGCGGTGCGGGAAGGCTCGGATATACTTGGGTAGCTCCCTTGGCCGAGTGGTAGTATGGTATGAGTTAAGCTTGTGTTCTTGTCAGGTGACGAGCACAAGTACCGTGAGTTCCGTGATTGTAACGGATAACGGTGGCGAGATTTCCGGTAATAGACTTCTGTGTGATTTCTAGAACGGATATCGCGTGAGGGGAGTATCAGCATGCATTAGAGGCCTAAAAATGCATATTAGGATGCATTCATAACATGGGATGTTATTGCATGCATATAGGATCATTAGAGCATAATTGCTTGTTGTGTGATTGTTTGCTTCCGCTTCTCTATCTCGTTGGTCGACTATGTGTGTTACCAATTAGATGAGTTATGCGTACTTTGGTAGTACTTTTTTTAATTTTAAGTGGGGGAAAAACTTATTGTATAGAGGGTCCTAGACTCACTAAGTAAACATTAGGTTACTTATGATGACTATTTGTTTTACAGGAAACCCTTAGATCAACCTGGAGTAGCGTGGAACGTTAGGCACTGGAGTAGATTTCCCTTGGCTTTTGTAAAATTTTAATTTGTAAGATTAATGACTTTAAACCCCCACCTATTTTGTTTTGATTTTGGGCATTAGGCCATGGCTAAAATCTTTTGTTGTTTTATAAAACCTCATCTTTAATAAAATATAAATGGGAATAAAATTATGTTTTATTTAAAGATGGCTTGTTTGGATGATATTTGTTTTGTCCGAACGAACACAACTCAGTTTTCATAATACGGGTTGCAAAGCCTTAGTATATTGAATTCTGTGGTAAGAGAACTAGAGACCGGATATGAGTCAAGGATCCCCTCCGGGACTCAGGTCTGGACTTGATTAGGTCTCAACTGTGATACACTCGAGTCGATTGATTTATAGATCGAATCGGGGGTGTTACAAATGGTGGTATCAGAGCATGGTTCATGATCATGCTCGCGGACAAGCCAGTTTTCAAATGTTTTATCGAGTCAAAACTAGAGTCGCAAAAGCCAAGTTAGGGTAATCCAGTACGTTCCACGGTTTAGGATTAATTAATAGGACTTACCTTTTTTTTTTTGAGATGTCAAACCAGGGTGAGAATCGGTCGTGGGGTTCGCAATCGGGTCAGGATGTGTCTCAACCGGGAAATGCGAGTAACTTCTGACACGTACATGCCATCTGAAGAAGAAGGGTCTTGGTATGAGTTCATGCACGGATACATGCCGGAGTCAGCCAGTGACGCGGATAGTGGAAACTATCGGCATTATGGACCTTAGGAAGTGCCAATGCCACCATACTACTCTTCTTCAGTAAGCACCGAAGCACCAAACGGTTATGAATATCACAACTCTTCAACAGAGCAGCAACCAAATGACGTTACTAACGGTCATCAACAACCTAGGTTAGATGGTGTGAGGGTTTTATCGATTGTAAGTTTCATCCATGAGATGACAAGAGCATTGTTCGCAGTCCAGTCTTCATGAGTGGCAGAAGTTTCATCTCGCTCAAGGATAGTACCATTGACAAAACCGAATTCCTTTCTTGCCGTAAGCGCCAAACGCAAATTGGTAGCCCATATATCGTAGTTAGGACCAGTCAAAAGTGGTTTGGAGATGAGTGTGCCACAGTTATCTCTTGTTGTCAAATCATAAGCAGAGATCATATGATGAGAAAAAGAGGTTGATGACACAAATGCAGAAGAAATAGTCATCGTCAAAAAGGGTTACATTGAGAGAAGTGAGCAACGAAACCAAGGTCAAAAAGAGAAGTGAATAAGAAAACAGAATTAGATCTCGCAGCGGAAATTCAGATCTCAAAATCGAAAGCTATAACCGTGAAAAAGTTAGGTTAAAGCTTTGATACCATGTTAAGTTTTCTCGGCATCCAACCTAAAACCAATTGGCAATAGGTGGAGTGGCCTCAGTCTCTTATATATTGTTCTAGGTTCCTTCCACTTTTCGATATGGGACTTTATCTTGCACACTCTCTAGAGATTAAGGCCTCATAGCCTATTAACCTTTACAATATCCCAATACTTACCATTAATTGGGAAATAATAATCTATAACTAGAATCTCAATTGAACGGAGAAGAAAAAATCGACTCGAAGACACAATAATATATAAATTATAATCGATTCAAATTGCAATATACAAATCGACTCGGATATGATAAACAAAATACCTTCTTATGACCTGTAGCTTATGACTTCAACTGTTAATCTTCTCTCGTGATTATCTTTGTAGGGTTATGACAGAGCAGGACAGAGGAGAAGAGCACAGGTTACATCAACCGTCGTCGTCCCAAAAAATAATATGTGGGAATCCAATGTATAGATCGTTTCATTCAAAGAACAAAACTCATTGAAACTAATACAAAAAAAAATCGAAGGACAATACCATACAACCCATACAGCAAAGAACATCTTCTCACTAAAAAAACCAATGAACAGAAACTCTATTTAGCAATTGCCATACATGAAGAACATCATTAAAACTGTGTTTTACCATCATCAACCAAGAACACCTCTCATAACAATCCATATAAAAACCGAGAACACAAAAAAGCAATTGGATATTTGCGGCATATGGAATGAAGAATCCAAAATGATATTTATAAATCTAGGAAATAGGGTTTTTAAAAACTGAGCGTGTCTTGTGGGCTATGATGTACACGTGACATCCATGTACTGAGTCGTCAAATGAGCCCGACACAAAAAAAAACCGGGCCGAACTTCTAACAGCCCGCCCGCTTCATATCCAAATAAAAATTATTAGGGTTTCGTTCCTCGTGTTTTCCATACAAATTTCCCGGCCTACCAGATTTGAAACAGTGATCTAAAGATTCGCTCTACCAACTGAGCTAAGGGCGGAATTGATATTTCTTCTCACTTTCATTATTAAATATTTTTTCTTTACTACCGGATTTGAATCAGTGACCTTAGGATTTGCTGTTAGAAAAACCTATTATAGTGCTGTTAGAAAAACCTATTATAGTGCTCCGCTCAGCCAACTGAGCTAATGTCATGATACTTCTCACATTCATTATTATTACAGTCCTCCGCTCTGCCAACTAAGCTAAAGTCGGATTTGATGGTATTTCTCACATTCATTATTATATAGTATTTTTTATATATTTCCTTTAATTTCAGAGAATTGTTATATTTTCATTAATTATAAATTTTCCTCTGTTTTATAACAAAAAGATTCTGACCTATTCCCGTCCTCCGCTCAGCCAAAGCTAAGGTCAGTATTGGTTTAACATTCCACAATCATCAATAAGTAGTTTTCGAAAAATCCATATGAAACCTAATCCCATCGTTACTAGGAGTCGATGAGGAAACTTAACAACGAATTAGAGAATGTTTACCGATCAAACAACATACGATTGTAGTTGCATTCGCAAGTGTAAAATTAGTGACTCGTTGTGGAACAAAGCTGTGTGAGTGTTACAATTGCTGGTTGAAATCCTGATCGTAGAGGAACAACTGAAGCAACTCTCATGTGTTGCGCGTTTCGGTTATGAGGTCGAGTTAATGTCATCCTAAACACTTCCCCATCCAAGACCTGATTAACCATAGATGCTGCAAGCAATCAACATATTCAATACAAGATCAAAAAGTGATAATCAGAGGTTTAGCTTCATCAATGTATCAGAAGTTGTGATTGAGATTTCTTTTACCGGTTGAAGGATTGAGCTTGGTGAAGTGGAAGAACTCATCTGCTGAGCAACCAAAGAGAACAGTCGCAGCTCTGTCGAAACAGATGACAGTTTTAACTGATGTGTCCGTTGCTATAGACATCTGTTTTTAGATTAACAACAGACAAAGAATTCAGAAGAAGAAAGCAAATCCAAGCACAAATTTTTAGTTTCTCAATTTCAATTGATAGTATATCAGTTTGCTATAGACTTGAGACATCTGCTGATTAACAGTTTTCTTAATTCCACAAGTTAAAGCTCACAAACTCAAAGCAATGACAGTTTTGTAATTGAGAAATCGACAGATTCAAATTCAGACAAGACCACAGTTTCAAACTCAAAGCTCACACATCCAAATACAGTTTTCTTAATTCCACAAAACTTATTGACATTTGATAGAATCCCTACATTTGGGACAAAATCCCTAAATTGACAAACTGATAAAATAATGTAAATCCCTAAATTCAACACGAATTTTCATAGATTTCAGATAATTCACAATAAAGAAGAAGAAAGAGCAAAAGAAGGTTCGTACAAGGATTCGATAGAGCAATTTGGGTACTTTAGATTTGCAGAATTTGCAAACCGACGATGATGTGACACCATTGTTATCTGAGGGAATTACTCTCTCGCAGCGAGAACATACTCTGTAGCAATAATCGTTGAGGTCGACGGCAAGCAACGTACACAAAACCGTTTGATCGGCTTGCATTTTAGGGCTTTCCTCTGCTTTTCAAAGTTTCCTCCTTTCCACTAAAAAATTTGTGCCAAAATATACAAAATGGAAGAGAAAGTCAGAGCCTTTATAAACACAAAAATTGATAAATTTATTTGCTTAAGAATTCACAAGCACGTGTATACGAATTTTATAGTTCCCTTGCAAAATCCAAGATTTATACAGTATAATGGTTTATTTCTTTGAAACATGTACTGGTGACTTGTTGCTCTTCCTTTAGTGTCCTTGATACACGAGAATCCCTAAGTATCCCACAAACCCAACCCTAGAAAAATCCAGAATGCCTAAACAGTTCAGCCTAATTCCTTATAAGCTCTTAAACATAGCCACATTCCCATAAAAATTCTTCCTAGGTCAGTTACAATCGTCTTGCATTACACTACCAACACCTTATCATTATACTTGCACTGTCTCTGTGGTTTAAATCTTTGAGTGAACTTGATTGTTGAAGAGAAGTGAAACGGCATAATAATTTACCTTGTTTTCTTTGTTCACTTGAATCCGGAGGCAAACTAGAAACACAAGATAAACAAGATTGATTGGTTTACAAGTTGTCAATGAATAACTAGTCGTTCGTTGTAAAACATGCTAAACTTACCAGACATGAATGAGTTAAAAGGAAACGATCCCACCAGAGCCATATAAGCCACCTATTCAGTAAGAAATGCTCTAGCGATTAACACTCAGCGGCTAGGTGCTTTGTCTTTTAACCATTATGAAAACTTTTAAATTGCTACTCATGAGCAAGAGAGATGTCAAACTACTTTTATCCATGAAACTGAAATAAGCCAAGACACATAGGACAAGAGATTCTTCATTTCCTTTACCATTTCAATCAAGTTAGAGCGAACCAAAAGACTGAAACTACATGGCAATTTCACCTAAACCAAGGAGTAGTAAAGCTGATATCATCTATACAAATACTACTGATGATTCTTAGAAAACCTACAGAAACCAATGCTCAATTCAAAAAGGACTATAAAAACATCCCAACCTTGCAAATTGTTGCTATTTACATTTATTAATGGTTCTTAGAAGAAACTACAAGAGACGAACCAATACTCAACTAGAAAAAGGCGATACAAAAACATCCAAAACTTGCAGACTTTTCGCTAATTCCATGACAACTTCTACATCTACTACTGATTCTTAGACGAAACCATCAAGAAACAAATCAATCGAATCAGAAATCACTGGGTTTAATCCCGACATATCAAGCTAGAAACAAATCCACTAGATTCTATTGGAGTTAATAGAATTTATATTCAAAATGTATACCGGTTACACTAAACCAAGTGGTTAGGCTAATGTACCGAGTGTATAAAATCAATCCGTTGTAACAAGATTCATTCAATACAACAGAAACTTTTCTTCCATTTTCTCTTCTTCTCTCTCGATTCCTTTTCTCTAATATGGTATCAGAGCTTCGAGCCTTGAAAGCTCGATTAGATCCGTTTCTTTCTCTCTTTTTTTGACCTTGATTCGATCGTTGATTCTCACGATCTTATCATTTCTTCGTTTTGCAATAGTTTTCCGGTCATTCCGCCGGATTTCGTAAATATCGTGATTCATCTCTCAAATCGAGCTTCGTCTTCGTTGTTATAATGGTGATCGGCCGGAAAGTAACCCGTCGCACCAACAGGACAACTTCCTCAGCTCGCAAAACTACAACTCGCGAAGATCGCGATTCTTCTCCGGAACCTGCGTCTCCGTTGACTTTCACTATATCGCCGGATAGTGTTCATTCGCCGTACTACCTTACCAGCGGTGACAATCCCGGCCACTCTATTATCTCTGAGGTACTCGATGGAACCAATTACGATAACTGGCGTATTGCTATGAACATCGCGCTTGATGCTAAGAACAAATTAGCTTTTATCGATGGATCTATTGCTAGGCCTAGTGAATCTGATCAGCTCTTCAGGATTTGGTCTAGATGTAATTCGATGGTGAAATCATGGATTCTCAATTCCGTTTCAAAGGAAATTTACAAAAGTATTCTCAGATTCAATGATGCTTCTGAAATTTGGAAAGATCACTCGACTCGTTTCCACATCACCAGTTTACCGCGATCTTATCAACTCTCTCAACAAATTTGGTCTCTGAATCAAGGATCAATGGATCTCTCCACCTACTACACCAAATTGAAGACGTTGTGGGATGAGCTCGACGGTACTAGTTGTGAGAAAACATGTCATCATTGTGATTGCTGCAAATCTATGGAAAAGAAGGCAGATCATGCTAAGGTCATTAAGTTTTTGGCTGGTTTGAATGAATCTTACAATGTCATTCGCAGCCAGATCATAATGAAGAAGAACGTTCCTGCTTTATCTGAGATCTATCACCTCTTGGATCAAGATCATAGCCAGCGTACTATTCTTCCCGTTCACAATGCCACTGCCTTCCAAGTGACAGTTCCAGATGCTTCTCCTCCTGCCTCTGTGAATGCAGCTCAGACGAATTATCAGCCTCAGAAGCAGAACCAACGAGTATGTACTCATTGTGGTTACACTGGTCATACTGTGGATACTTGTTTCAAAATCCACGGCTATCCACCTAATTTCAAGCATAAGAATCAGAAATCTGTGCCTGAAAAGCCTTCTTCGATCACCAAGCCTCCTCAACAATCTCGTCCCGTTGTTGCTCAGGTTGCGATTCCTTCAGTTGACACCGTACCTGAGAAGTTCACTCAGCTGTCTAAAGATCAGATTCAGGGAGTCATCGACTACTTCAATGCGCAGCTCCACTCTTCTGTCAATCAACTTTACGATGATACTCAGATTCCCGGAGGTACAATCACTACACTTCCTGGTATGGCATTCTCTTCCTCTACGTTACACTTTGTGGGAGCCTTGAGAGCCACCGGTGGTGTCTTGAATTCTGAGTCTTGGATCATTGATAGTGGCGCAACGCACCATGTTTGTCATGACAAACGTTTGTTCTCGATGTTATCAGAAAATGTTCATTCCTCTGTGACTCTACCTACGGGTTCTGGTGTTCAGATCACAGGAATTGGCAGTATCAAACTCTCTGAATACATGATTTTGAAAAACGTGTTATATATCCCCGATTTTCGACTGAATCTCCTCAGCATCAGTCAACTGACTAAAGATTTGGGATATAGAGTCTCATTTGACAGTGTTTCTTGTGTGATACAGGATCCTATCAAGGGATTGATGATTGGTCAGGGTGAAGAAGTGGCTAATCTCTATGTCTTGGATGTTGAGTTTGGATTGCAGCAGTCTTCTCAACAATCTAGTTTTCTTTGTAATGCTGTTGTTGATTCGGAATTATGGCACAATAGACTTGGCCATCTGTCAGATTTCAAAACGGATTTTGTCACTGATGTACTTGGAATCAAAAAATAAGAATAAAAATCGTTTTCCGTGTGCTATTTGTCCCTTAGCTAAACAGAAACATCTTTCATTTGATTCCAAGAACAACATGTGTACTAATGCCTTTGATCTTCTCCACATAGATCTCTGGGGTCCGTTTTCAGTGCCTACTGTGGAAGGTTATAAGCACTTTCTGACGATTGTGGATGATCACACTAGAGTGACTTGGGTTTACCTGTTGAGAACAAAGGATGAAGTCTTGAGAGTGTTTCCTGATTTCCTGCAGATGATTGAGAATCAGTATGGTTGCAGAGTTAGAGGGGTTCATTCTGACAATGCACCAGAGTTGAAGTTTGTAGATTTATATAAAGCTAAGGGAATCAAGGCTTTTCACTCTTGCCCTGAAACCCCTGAGCAAAACTCAGTCGTCGAAAGGAAACATCAGCACATATTGAATGTTGCTCGTGCTCTCATGTTTCAAGCGAAAGTTCCTTTGGAACATTGGGGCGATTGCGTTTTGACTGCTGTCTTTCTCATCAATCGTTTACCCACTCCTCTGTTGAAGAACAAGAGGCCGTTTGATATGTTAACCGGAAAGAAAGCAGATTATAAGGGCCTCCGTGTTTTTGGCTGCCTTGCTTTTTGTTCCACATCTTCAAAAGGACGAAACAAGTTTCAGCCTCGAGCACGACCCTGCGTCTTTCTTGGTTACCCTTCTGGTTATAAGGGCTACAAATTATTGGATTTGGAGACCAATAAAGTTCATATATCCAGACACGTTGTTTTCCATGAAGAAATCTTTCCCTTTGCGAAAGATGTACGTGAGCCCTTCCCTGACGTTTTTGATTCCATGCCAGATTCTTCTACGTCTTCTAGTCCTCCTACTCTAGATAATGTCATTCCTGCAGTCGAGAATGATGGTGTCGCTCCTGTGGTTGAGAATGATGTTCCTAGAGCAGATAGTTCTACGGAGGAATCTGTGCATCGGAATAAACGAGGTCATGCGAAGCGCTCATCCAAAGCTCCTGCTTATCTTGATGATTACTGTTGCAATATGGAGAAAGCTGAGATTCCGTATCCTCTTGCCAACTATCTCTCTTATGCTGAGTTGTCTGAGGATTACAAAGCCTACATATTCTCTGTTAACATTCACTCTGAACCGAGCTCTTTTGCTCAAGCCAAGAAGTTTGATGAATGGCTTGCGGCTATGAATGAGGAACTCATTGCTTTAGAGAAGACAGGAACTTGGGAAATCTGCTCCCTTCCTGATGATAAGCATGCTATTGGTTGTCGCTGGGTTTACAAAACCAAACTGAATGCTGATGGAAGCCTTGAGCGTTACAAAGCTTGTTTGGTAGCTAAAGGCTACACGCAGCGAGAGGGCATCGATTTTGTTGATACCTTTTCTCCAGTAGCCAAAATGACGACTGTTAAGACTCTGCTTGCTGTTGCTGCTGCTAAAGGTTGGAGTCTTACGCAGCTTGATATTTCCAATGCCTTTTTGAATGGAGACCTTGACGAAGAGATCTACATGACTCTCTCTCCCGGTTACACTGCTAAGCCTGGTACAACCTTACCTCCTAATGCTGTTTGTCGCTTAAAGAAGTCCTTATATGGTTTGAAGCAGGCTTCTCGACAATGGTTTATCAAGTTTAGCTCTGTTCTTCTGCGTTTGGGTTTCAAAAAGTCACATGCAGATCACACTCTTTTTGTGAAGCATGAGGGAGACGTCTATGTTGCTGTGTTAGTCTATGTGGACGACATTATCATCACAAGCAACAACGACCCAGCTGTGGACACTCTCAAGGTGAATTTGACGGAAGCCTTTCGCCTGAGAGACTTAGGTCCACTTCGTTATTTTCTTGGCCTTGAGATCGCTCGTTCGGTTAAAGGAATCTCTGTGTGCCAACGTAAATACACTTTGGAGTTGCTGGAAGAGGCTGGTCTCACTGATTGTAAGCCTTCGAGCATTCCAATGGAGCCTAGTATTAAACTGGTTCAAGATTCTGCAGAGCCAGTCATTGATGATATTGGTTTGTATCGCAAATTGGTTGGTAAGATGATGTATTTGACGATTACTCGTCCGGATATCACTTATGCCGTCAACAAGCTTTGCCAATTTGCCTCTGCTCCAAAGCATTCTCACCTTCAAGCCGCTTTCAAAGTTTTGCGTTACTTGAAAGGAACCGTTGGACTTGGTTTGTTTTACTCTACTGAATCAAATCTCGTCCTCACCGGATTCACTGATGCTGACTGGCTATCGTGTCCTGACACTTGTCGTTCTACTTCGGGTTACTGCATGTTTCTTGGTAATTCGCTCATTTCTTGGAAGTCCAAGAAACAGCAGGTTGTCTCCAACTCGTCAGCTGAATCTGAATATTGTGCGATGGAGTTTGCGTCCCGGGAGGTTGTATGGTTACGTACTTTGGTTGCTGAGTTTCTTGCTCCTCAGCCCAAACCGGTTCCTCTGTTTTGTGACTCAACGGCAGCGATTCACATTGCTAGTAATCCCGTTTTCCACGAGAGAACTAAGCACATTGAAGGGGATTGCCATCAAGTTCGTGATCGTATTTCTGCTGGATTCATCAAAACGATTCATGTCCGTACCGGCCAACAACTTGCCGATATTTTCACGAAGCCGTTGTTTCCGGCTCAGTTCAATGCCTTACTGTCCAAGATGGCTCTTAAGTCCATATATGTGCCATCTTGAGGGGGGATATTGGAGTTAATAGAATTTATATTCAAAATGTATACCGGTTACACTAAACCAAGTGGTTAGGCTAATGTACCGAGTGTATAAAATCAATCCGTTGTAACAAGATTCATTCAATACAACAGAAACTTTTCTTCCATTTTCTCTTCTTCTCTCTCGATTCCTTTTCTCTAATAGATTCTCCCAACGCTAATTAGGGCGATAATATCTCAACCAACGCAATGATCGAACAAATTGAAAACGAAATTTTGATCCAAGTATAGATATTGATATGAAACTGAACATCTGAAATGGCAGAAGAAGAGATTATTGATGAACTTACACTTATCGCAGACCATCTTCGTCTCTTCAAGAAGATTGCTGAAGCCTTAATTTCTCAAGTTACTGAATCCACATGAGTAAACAGAAGAAGAAGATCGGAGAGAAAGGAGAAGAAGAACGAGAAGAAGAAGCGACTGAGGAAAAAAGAAAAATTGATTTACAACAAAAAAGAAGCAGATATCATTTACAATAGCCCTGGTCATTTGGATACTCGTTTCGGTTCAAGTCGGGTATTTCGGGTATTAGGCCTTTGGTTTTAGAATTTAGGACCCATTTGGGTATTTTTTTTAGTTTTCGGTTCGATTGGGGTTGGAATGTATCAATTTTTTCTTCAAGAACCGAAACATACCTAAACTTTATGGGTGTGGTTTCGATTGGGTATATAATACCCAAACCTACAAAAAGTACCCAAAGTATTCATATATTACCCGAAAATCAAAGTCTTACAAAATCACACTATTATTTGGGAAGTCAGAATTGCAAATGGAGCCACCACGTTAACTCTCAGCCCGGAATTACCGAGATACCCTTAATGAAAATCTATTATTAAATCTTCTGAATTTCCTTTTTTAATTATTTCACAATTTCGTTTTTTTTTAATACTCCCTCCGTTTCAAATTAGTTGTCGTTTTGACAAAATGTAATACCCAAACCTACAAAAAGTAGGGAAACTTGGTAGGAAGGTGGATTTTGAGTTTGGAATTAACTTTTTGGCGGAAACGAGTTTGTAATTGGCGAAATAGATGGTTCACTGTTGGGCCCTTCGCAATGGCCCCGACCAATTGTCCGAAATTACCAAGTATGCCACTCCATCTACAAACATGAAAATAATTAATTACAAACAGAACTCAGGGTCTGGGGCCCATGGAACCCCACCTGTGCCACGACTACACACCCATTGAACCACGGGTCCGAGGGAATTTTCGACCGGAACCGGTCTGAGAGTGCGACCGGTTTGCGTATTATGGTTTACCCGGTCCGGATTGTGAAGGGCCAACGCCGGTTCGGTCGAAGGTGGGTTAAGCGGTTGGCTTGGTATTTTGAAGACCGACTTATAGCATCGTCTTCTCCGTTTGAAATCATAAATGCGAAAACGATTAACTGAAGTTTGCAACCGTAATCGTCTAACATTCTCAGTAGGACATTAATCGTCGGGAGTTTGCAAGATCTAGATGGGAAGAAAGAGGAAGATGGCCGCCCCAACATCGCCGGCGCCGGTGGCGAGAAACCTTCGGAGTAACACACGGATCGAGGAATCGGGCGCGGTCACCGCCGTCTCGCAAGTGGAAAACCAAGGTCAGAGCTTCGGATAAACCCTACGATTGTCAAATTAAAGGTAGATAGGGTGACTTAGTCCCACCTTCTGCTTGCAATTATCAATAGGGTGGTTTATGATTAGGATTTAGCAAAGGGAAGATTAAAGTCTTCATTTTGACCGATTAGCGGAACCATATAGGGGGGGTTCGGATTTGATTAGCAAAATAGATAAAATCCCAAGATCTGAATGCATTGGTTACTTTATTAAAGATTCGGTTTCAATCGTATTGTAGGGACACCAGCGAAAAAAGACGGCAACTCAACTGAGCTTCCTTCTCGTTTATATGCGGCAGACTGTTACCCAAGGAGGACCTCAGAGACTAAACATCTATGCGAAAGCAAATGTCATCGGCCAAGTGGTTGCGGCGTTGCAAGGGCATGAGGAGTTGGAACATCTCCGGCAAACGCAGTTCGCCGGATTGCTGAATCTTCCGGTAGCACGATCCTCTAATTCCGCTAAACTTATTCACGCTCTGCTTGCCTGGCAACTGGTGACTAGGAGAAGATATGAACTGTGGACAGTGTTCGGTCCGAACCCAATTCGTTTCTCGCTCAGGGAATTTAAACGAATTACTGGGCTCTACTGCGGGAAAATTCCGGAGGACCATTTGGCGGAGAGGGAGACAAGTCCAGAAAGAAGTTCATCAAGTCAGTCTACTGAAGACGATGATGGGAAAAAGAAACAAATGTCAACTATGTGGAAAGACTTGTTTGGGAGGAAGGATGCGCAAGTAACTGTTGATGATGCCATTGCCATGCTAGAGGATCCGAATTTGGCTCAGTGGAAAAGGATGCCCCTGGCTCTTATAATCCTGGTGGAAGGTGTTCTTATATGCCGTGGACAAGCATCTCGTATTCACACCCTCATACGTGGATATGCTATGCGATATGGAGTACTTCCTCGAGTTTCCTTGGGGCAGAGAATCTTTCTTGAAAACGATAGTTAGGTTTATCCCCAGCGAAAATGTTGAAGGAGTCGGCGATGCTCGGCGGAGGGAGATGTAGTCCAATTGCGTCCTGCGGATCCCCTAGGAGCGATGAGACACCAGCTGAACCAGCAAACCAGCGTTTGTAATGGTTTCCCATTGGCTCTGCAGCTGCTGGCGTTGGAAGCCATTCCGCTTCTTGCCCAGAAAATCCCCGACCCCGGAAACCTGAATACCTTTCTGACTGATCCGAAACCCAAAAAGAATACTATTACTATTCTTCATCTGAATACGATTGTGGACGTGGAACGCGATCCTAACATAAGTGTCGACCAACCTAAATCGCTTTTAATGTCTTTTACTGTCTGTTCATGTGGTAGTTTTGGGTGTATAGGTCAGACATATCGCAATTAATATTGACGTTAGTGTACACTATTGCATTAGTTTAGGTGTACGCAGGATGCCTAACTTTTGGCAGTGTAGGTGATACAGAGCGCAATAATTAGGACATAAGTGTAATTGTACGCATGATGCATTATAAGGTTAAGTGTGGGATGTGTGACGTAACCACTGCGGAAGAAGTGTAGGACGTGAAGCATGTACACTTCGTTTGTAGGAAACGAAATTGTACAGTAAGACTAATGTTTAGTAAAGTTTTGCGGATGCTATTTTGTTTATTGTTTTGTAAGACGTTAAAGTTTTATATGTGGACGTGTAGTTGGAGGTGTTGTGTTCGTATGACGAGGATGAACCGGAGGAGGTGCAGTGGGATGATGAAGTGGTCGATGAAAAAGTTGAATACTTACTGAAACTCAAGAGGGACGGTTACAAGTTTAAGAAGTCTGATTTCAAAGGCGGAGACACACCTTTGTTCCCATCGTAAACGCGAAGAATAGAGAAGGAAAAAACGGGAGGAAAAGTAATCATGTGAAGATGGAGGGGAGGGATTCCAAGGATGGTCCGACACCAAAAAAGGCCGTAGAAAAGAAGGAGAAACAAGGAGTGAAACCTTTGCGCAGAGGAGTGCCAAAGAGAAAGAGGGGCCGTGAAGGTAGGGATAGATCGAAGAGTGTTGAGGAATCTGACGAGGAAGTTCTTCCTCAGCAGGTGGTGTTGGAAATTGTCGACGAGATGAAGAGCTGGATGTTAGGCCATCTGAACCAAATGAAGGAAAGCTCTTTTGGTAGTTGTGGCTGAAGAGAGAGAGAAGGGGAAGGAGAAAGTTGAAGGCGGAGGCTCAACAGACGGGAAAGAAAATGCAAGGGCCGGTGCGAAAGGAAATATTGGAAGACCTAGGGAACCTACTCCGGGTCAGGGTGAAAAAGGTGGAGAAAGTGGTTGGGAAACTGAAAGTGAAAAAGAAAGCTATATACTTCTCGCTAGGAGAGGAAATAGGAGGACTCAGAAGCGGTCCGTTGTACAAGAAACCTAGGGTGGTGGGATGGGAAGGGGATGATTATTTGAATACAAGATCGGATGAGGCGGGGAAAGAGCGAACTGGAGTAGATGAGGAGACGAGTACGTGGAAGTATTACGGTGGAACTCTGGATGTGTTGGCTGAGTTAGGCGTTGATAAAGTAGACAAATCTCGAATGTAGGAGAAGAATTGGGTGGTCGTGGGGAAGGAGGAACCGTTGTAGCTGACGGAGGAAAGACGAACCGTAAGGAGGACAAGGTGGTGGATGCTGGGGACAAGGTGGTGGATGCTGGGGACGAAGGAAATGAAGAGCTGTTGGTTGAAGAGAAAGAAGACGAAGAAGTTACGGCGGGGGAGGAGATGCTTGAAAAAGAGGATGATGATTGCGAGGAAGGTGATAAAGGCGGAATTCCAGAGAGCGAAGGAGTTAGGGAACGAGAGACAGGTCAGGAAACGGAAGGAGGAGTTGGGAAAGAAATGAAGGGCGTCCAAGTTTCTGTAAGGATAATGTTTTGCTATACAACTACTGAGAATTACCTTCGATTTTATGATTTGTATTAACAAATCATGTTCCCAATTTAATTTAAATGTGAGCCACAGGTTGGGGAGAAGGAAATATTAGAAAGAGCAGAAAGCGAGAAGGAAGGAGTTGAAGGGGCTGTAGCATGGTCGAAAGAGAGGAGGAAAAAATAATATCATATGACAAAACTGGTGAGGAAGACAGTGAAGGAGGGATAGGGGATGGCAATGCAAAGGAAGTTCACGTAAGGGTTATTTTGAATTAAATTCGCAGGTAAATAACACATATTATAATCCTTCTGTTATTATTAACAATCTGGCTTGCAGGAAGGAGAAAAGCGAGAGGCCGAAGGTGAAGAAACCGCATGCTTAGCGAAGCGGTACACCAGGTAAACACGTACACCATATTACCGTAGAACTTGGTAGCGAAAGTGTATCCGTGTATTTTCTGTAACCCAAACTCCATCCACCGTTGTCAAACCTTGTACAGATGTCTATCCCTCATGATGAAGTTTTGTTGTTTGAAAATATAATTGCAATAGGTGTCAGCCGAGGAAGCAGTGGCCGGTAGTGATGTAGGAGCCGTTGGTGAGTACACCGACACTGAAAAACTTCCTGAGAAAGTTACGGAGAACGTAGAGGACGAAGGTGATGAAGCAATGAAGACCCCTGAAAAAGAAAAAGCTGATGTTGACTGAGCAATGCGGAGCCGTTTACATCTCCGGTGGTCAGGCAAGCGGCAACAGTACTCTGCCTCAGAAAGGTGAGGAGAAGCGCGTCCCGCAGTTGTCTCAGAGAGTGAATGAGAGAGGAATACATTGGGGATCCACGAGTGTGGGGGCTTTTTGCAAGTCGAACTGAACCGAGATATGAACCCATTAACCGAGCAGTGTACCGAGTTACAAAGGATGAGTTCAAGATATTCCAAAGGGCTTTAAAGGAAAATACGAAGAAGTGCGTTCGAAATGCGTGATTTGTTATGTGTTTTATAGGTTTGTAGGTTAATAGATTTGCGTACTAAAAACCGACGGTCTTATTTTGCTTCGCAGGGAATTCAGCATAGTGACTGGTCACACCGTTACTAACAAATTATTCTTGGAGATTGCGAAGAAACAAGAATGGGTCGGCACTGAGGTATGTGAAAGGAGAAAAGAAATAATGTTTTTCGTACACCGTGTCAAAAATCATTGAGCGTACACCATCATCTAACTTTCCGTCAAATTGGAATTTCAGCACATGGAGGTTATAATGACAATGTTGTGGCGTCGCCGAGGAGAGGTATTGGTGAAAGACCGAGCAGTATTCGTAGAGAGTGCCTTCACTTCACTTGTGGCTTCAATGTACCCGGTATTTAAGACATGCGATGACAAAAGTGCGTTCGACTGGGGAAACAACGTTCGGAGCTTTGTTTCGGGTAAAAGTCGGAGGAAAAAAACTGAAGTCCGAATTTGTGACGAACGTGGACATGTTGTACGTCCCGATGAACTGGGGTAATGATCACTGGGTTGGTTTGGTGATAGACATTCCCGGAAGTTATGTGGAAGTACTTGACCCGTACGTCGACTACAACCATAAAGAAGCTGTGGTCGAAGCGTACATGGAACCGGTCGTTCAGTCAATGCCTTGGATACTGAAGCGTTACATGGCACCCAATGTGCTAAGAACATTTCCACCACTGCATACGGGTGGGCGAGGACCGGTGGTCTGTATCAAAACACTAGGGCTGGTGATTGCGGACCTTGCGCGGCGAAGTTCCTAGAGATGCACGCACATGGACTTCACGAAGAAATGTCTACGGTGACTGATCAGGATGTGGATAGGTTTCGTGAGAAATACGCTATGGACTGCTACGAGGAGTTCGTGGGGAAAGCAAACGTAGCAAACAAATGATACGTCTACAAATATATTTGAAATCGACCATTAATCATCCTATCGAACTCTGTCCTGTCGAACTCTGTTTGTGTTTTTACCTTTGTTACCGTTTCCTACGACTTTGTTACTTATTTCGTCAGACTTGCGTTCGTAGATGCCATATGTTATATCTTGAACTCATATCCTGAACTCTTTCAATTAATAGGTATAATATGTGTGGTGCTTGTTTACACTAATGGGAACTTCGCTGGGCGAACGAAATCTTATGACCCCCTTTCTGTATGCAAAGCGTTTAGGTGTATAGGAAACTTCGAGTCCTTGGATTTTAGTCTTCGTAGATGTTATGTGTTATATCTGAAACTGATATAATGAGTACAATATGCAACGAAATATTTCATAACCCGTTTCTCTATGCAGCGCATTTTTGTTTTAGGATGTTTTTGTTTTAATTATGTTGTTTAGCCTGACTGAGCTTCCTGTGTGGATTTGAATTGGCGAACTGCAATAATGTAACTATCCTGTATGCGACGTTGTTACACCCAGGCCAAAAATCGTACTGTTTCAATAGTAGTTTTTGTAGTGCATCAGATGGAATTTGATGTAGGAGGCATAAATCGAGGAATGTGGGCCAGAGTTTTCCATAATATTATTATTATAATATTATTTATGCCGAATAGCTGTAAAACACTCGCCCAATTTGAATGGAAAAACGTAAGTCAACATGTCAAATCAACTTAAAGCTTTCGGGGGAAAAAAGGTGATTTTCGAGGGCAATGACACGTGTACGGTGAAAACCACTATACCACCAGTCATATACGCTTAGATTTGGTCTCATTTCACAAGCATACAGACATGGAGTCCAATTCATCTTCCTCCGCTGGCGGTGCCCAATTGACAAGGTGGACGGGGTCACCTCTCTGCCGATGTCTTGAATCCCCGATAGTACTGACTTCGTGGACGGACCAGAACCTGGTCGCGAGTTCTACA